TACAGATTAAACAGAAACTTGGCATAATTATTACTCGTAAAGTGTATTTTTTGTATTTGTATTCCTGAAAATTTCCAACTCAGTTTCAGAACAATATTTTATATAATCTAGTCTCATTGCTGTGCTCGTAAATGTCTAAGTACGCAGAAGCCATAAACCTATGTGGTTACGAGAGGGCAAATAGTTTTGCAAGGCTGAATCTACCGAACGATTTTCGGGCCCAAAACTAGCTTTTGCATTGACCGCTATTAAAATTATAACTGTAATGAAGGAATGGACTCAAAATGAACACATCATTATAGACGATGATAAGGTTTGAGATGAACAGATCCCAAAGCCGTCTTAGCATTTACTACGTAGTCCTTCTAGCAGCGACCACTAGCTTCAGATTAACTCTTGACCCTTCCATTCATTCACTCCAGAAACTATGCTATATAATGTCAATAATATCTATGACTAAATATTGTTTCTCCCTGAACAAGGAACAAAATTGCTCCAAGACGATTTTCCGACGATTTTTTGCCATATCCTCCGAAAACAGCACATAATAACAAATAAACAACAAACGTATACTTAAATGCACATAGGTCGTTGAAATAAATAATATCCTCCGGTAAATAGTACGACATAAAAATAGGGACGATAGGCGAAGGGCAGATTTACAACATGTCAAAAAGCGACTCTAGTAAAAGTTTCACTGTTTTTGAGATGTTTATTTTTTTGTCTTTCTTTCTTTCTTTAATCTATCTTTTGTTGCTGTGCTTAGAAATAACAGGATATCTGTTTGTGTTTTGCAAAATATTCTCAGATAGTTGGTCTGCCATTTGAAATATCATTTTCGATAAATAAACTTGACAAACTAATTTCTTCTCCGTAATTTTTATTTTTGGAAACCATCTTACTCAACATTGCTATTCAGCAATGAAATAAAAATGTACTAGATTGCTGATGCAAACTACTGCGATATATTACCTGCTTAATCAGCAACAATACGTAGAATAAACGAGGACTTTTTTCGAAAAAGACAAAAAAAATATTATCTCAAAAGCAGTGAAACTTTTAATATGGCCATTGTTGGTATGTTGCAGATTTGTCTTTCGCCTATCTTTCCCCATTTTTCGCCCCTTTATATTTCTCACCCACATCGCTCTAGCGTGACTGGTAGCCTGATGATACGTCCTCACTGAACAAGAAGACGACTACGTGACTCACTCTCGATTTCACTGTCGTGACTCTTAGCTGGAGTGGGCGTGAAACGTAAACCCGCGAGGGTCGTTGACCGTTCACACGATCACGATTCAGTTTATTCCATGAAGCCGACCTGAAGGAGCTTTTGATTAACAGTTGTGCAACTTTGCGTTCAGTTCTTAGTGCTGTGTTCACGTGTTCACGCCTGAAAGCCAAACGTGTTTGATATCGAGCATGAGTGGTTGTGAGCTTGTCTGTCTCTCAAGACGTTAGAGTCCAAATTCTGAACTCGCATCAGCCATCAAGCGTCTTTTTTGGGCCGGATTATGTTCTTTTGATGTTTTGTGCTGTTGAATAATGCCTTCCCGTAATTTTAAGATATTACAACGATTATTCCTATTCTGCGCCTATGTCACAATCACCTGTAAATTGCCACGTCTTTGCAGCGCCCGCTGGATACAACAGTTACGCGGAAACCCTTTATTGGCTGTCCTTTGTATCAAACATATTCTGTCCAGAACCGGCCCGTCAAGCTATGCGCTAAATATAGCTTGATTGGTCTATAGGTAAATCCGTAGCTGCTCTTTGCAGACGAGAACGGTCGGCCTTTTGTTTGGAGCGTCTGCCTTTTCGAGATGAATTCGTGTTGGAGGTGGGGGGAGCGGTAAATTGATTTTTTAAATCGGGGTACAATTGCGTCAGTGCTCAAGTTTACCTGCAACTGATAGATCTATTTTTGCTCCACAACAGAGCAGTGGACTTTATTAAGCAAGGGAGTAACAAACTCGGTATGTCTTACCGGTACATCAGTAGCAGGTGATGAAGAAGAATATATAGGGTGTTTCCCGAAACATTGAACAAAAATTCAAAGTGTTTTTTTGGTCTATTTTAAAACTATTTTGTTCTTATAGGAGCTCGCGAGTTTGAACTTCTGGCGCTGGTGTTTTTTAGATGGCGTTAATGAGATTTAGGCGCATATACAGATTCTTATTTTTAACAAATATAATTTTCATTAATAAAACATGTTATAATATCCACGGATCAGGGTAAATACTGAAGTTATAATACTGCGCGTTGTTGAAAAAACTGTCTGTTACTGATCAGGCGCAGTACTTTCAAGATAACCGGAAAAAAGTATGTGAACTGCTGTAATAAATACGTGTAAAGTTAATATGTCAGAATCAAAGAAATACAGCTGCGTGGACTACATTTCAAAAAGGCTAATAATAGCAAATTAGCAAATTTATGTTAGTTATAGGAGATATATAGAATAAAATTGGAAGTCATTTGATACTTCATGTTCGAGTATCTTATCATTACTTTATAACCTCAAAGTACAGGTATAAGGAACCTCCATTTCATACGAAGAAATTTAACACCTCGTTAACTTGACTTATTCAAAAATAATTTGAAGAGACCTTTTTGAAAAGTACTGTATACTTCTAATAAGTACACAGATGAGTACTATAATTTCACTCCGTACCTGCGATCACTACTCAATGAAGAATTCAATGATTTTAAATAGCGACTTGTTTAATCTCTAGATACTAATTAATCATGATACTCGTATCACATTTTATACATTTTGTCTTCTACATTATAGTTATAGAACATCCATATGTGAAACTTTAAGATTATCTTAACATAGTAATACAAATTGACTAAATAGAAGATATTCATAGGTAGGATCAAAATCCTTCTGTAAAGTAATTCAGCATGTATTGCCAGGTTAGCGATGCCAGAATCACATTTAGTAATAACTTTTGCTCTTTTGGCTTCCTAAAGATGGGGAAAAAGAAAAGTTAATTATTTTGGCAATACTGCAACTATTGGGACACTAGGAAACTAATTTTTCGCGAAGCAAGATAAAAGTTTAAATTTTAAGCTGCTCAAACTTCAAAAATTGTTCTTAACATCCCAACAACTTCTTATTATTAACAGAGACATACAGGAATTTTTGTCAAAGGGGACTTGACTCAAACCCCACTCGACCCGGACTCAAATCTTCCGAATTATACCAATGGGCCTACAATTCCAGTGAACAATGTGGAAGATCTGAGAAATCAGGTAATTGCTATATACAACTCCATAAGAGCAAAGACCTTGATTTATTTTTTATCATAAACAGTTTTGGTATGAGTAAATAACTTCACATGTAATTTCACTAATCAGTACAGTTACTTTTGATTTAGCGATTTAAAACCAAATAATCAAAGAATAGTGCTGAGCGTCACTCTTTGGATCTTCGCATCTGATAGGAAAATATACTGATTCGGATTTTTTGCATAATCTTATTCAAAGGGGCTTCTTTTAACGAATCTGCATCTTGACAGGCCCAAATTTGCGTCAAAAAATGTTTAAACAAATTCCAAAAATTACTTTTCTTGCTCCGGTCAAAGTTTGTTTAAATTTTTTGAGTCAGTCTGAACAAGAAATGTAATTTGAAGCTTTGCTCTAAAGTTGATAGATTTCGAGATAAAAACGAAACAATATTTAAAAAAGTGCAAAATACGCAATTTGCGACCCCAAGAAAGGGTATGCAAAAACGAAAACTTTAATGTTGTCGATGTTCGTAAATATTTTTCAAACATCTATTAGCAAAATCGTAACATGCTGATTCGTTAAAATATGACATTATGCAAAAATTTCGAAACAACTTTCTCGTCAGATGCGAAAAATTGTATCTGGCCCTCTAGGAGTTTCGTCATAAGAGGGGTATCATTTACTACAAAAAAAATATGTGTTCTGATGTTGCTACCTCTCCATCTAGTGTAATTTAGTGGAAAAGTCTGTCACCCATTTATCAACCCTCCATATACTCGATAGCATGCATCAATCCAGCATTGAATTTGATTTATTCATGAGATTTAAGCGATGTGGCTCCGGAACCCGGTTTGACGTATATGTATGAATATTGTCACCATTTCCCTCCATAGGAATAGATCTGTACGAGCCGCAATTCCAATATCCTGCCAATGAACAACAATTTTGTCCAAATTAGAGTATCTGCTTAACTTCTAAGAAATAAGCGTTAGTGGTGGTTCGATTACGCAACCAACTATAAAATAAAAAATATACAGTATGTCAATGAAGTACTTTATCAAACCCCAGGGGGTGATTCCTAGGGTGGCCCTAGCTTTGTTTTCGAAATACAGGATATCAAACATTTTTGGAAATTGGTATTTTCGGTAAAAAAATTGAGACATTTGTGAAAAATGGTGAATGTATATACTAAACTAGCGAACAATGTCCCTATATTTGTGAAATATGGTGAATGTGCATACTAAACTGAACAAACTGTGGTAAGATGCGTTATTCTTTTTTCTCGGTGTTCCCTATAGTTCTGCAAGAGAATATTGGAAATGCATCTTACGAAGGACTTTTAGCTTAGGCGCATAAACAGAAAATCGGTTACCAATATTTGTGAAAAAATGGTGAATGCGCATACTAAACCGGTCGGTCAAATTGATATAATTGAAGAAAGTGCTTTATTCTTGCTTCTCAACTTTTCCTATGATTCTGAAAGAAAATATTGAAAATGCACGTTATTTTGGACTGTTATATAACATCCGGGTTTGAGCGCAAAAAATCGGCTGCCAACATTTGTGAAAATGGTGAATGTGCATACTAAACCGATTGTACAAGCAGATGTAATTGAAGAAAGAGTACAAAAACCACTCACCACTTTCTTCAGATAATAATTTTTTAGTTGGATCCCGTTCTACTTGACATTTTGCGTCGTTTGGAATAAGAAACGGACAACTCCGCGCTCCAGAATATCAAATATAACTACAATTGGAGTTGTCCTTGAAATGCCTTGGAGCAAGAACCAGTCAGCTCCGGAGCTGTACAGTTCTTGCTCCAAATCAGAGATGGAGCTATTCTTGCAACTATGTGGATATGCATGGGTAGTGGTGCAACTAGAAAGTCCCTCCATCTTGCAAAATCAGAAGCTTTTTACACCTCGCCGGAAGAAAAATTCGCCCAGGCCAGAAATGAAGAATCTGTTGAGGTCTTGTGCAGTACATGGTTGTACCACATACGCTGTTTGTTCAAAACGTATCGCGAATTTCATGTTTTTTCAAGAATTATTTATTTATTCATGGATATCTATTTTGTCCCTTTCAAAGTAATCCCCATCAGACATTATACACTTGTGATAACGTATTTTCCAATCCGCGAAGCATTTTGAAAAATCCTCGAAGCATTTTGAAAAAAGCAGCTTCGCCGTGTGTAACAGTCAACATTTGGAATATGTCCGCGCACTTCAAGCTGTTTTTTGTATGAAATAATCCAGCTGCTTCAGTTTGGGGCCAAAAATGGGCAACTCCATTTGTTTGTATCGCACTTATCGGAAAAAATATCAATACACACTTTTTTGCATACAGAACTGTTTATCAGTATCCTTTTCTATACCTTACTCTCAGTTCGCTTTCTTACATTAAAAAATAGTTTTTCGTTAATACTGTAAAATTATAAATAATAATGATTTTCCTTATGATTCTGGAATAACAATATTGAAAATGCAGGTTGTGAAGGGACTTTCTCATAAAATTGGTTGACGACGTCAGTTTGTGAAAATTGGTCAATGCGCATTGGACACAGTTATGTAATTGAAGAAGCTGCCTTATTCTTATTTCTTGATATTCACTAAGATTCTCAAGGAAAATATTGGAAATATACGTTATGAAAAACTTTCTTATAACTTTCGGGGTTAAGCAAAAAATCTATTTCCGATATTTCTGAAAATTGGTGAATGCACAGACTAAGCCGATCGGACAAGCAGATGTAATTAAAGAAGACTGACTTTCCCTATGATTCTGGAAGAAAATATTGAAAATGCACATTATGAAGGACTTTCTTTCTTTCTTTTTTTGTAAATTAACAAGCTGATGTAATTGAAGAAGCCCCGTTATTCATATTACTCGGAGGAATTATGCATATAAGCAATAAATCGGTTGCCGACATCTGATCGGCCAAACTGATGTAGTTCAGAACCTGCGTTATTCTTGTTTCTTGATTTTTTCAATGACTCTGGGAGAAGGTATTCAAAATTCACGGTTTGAATAACTTTTAACTTGCAGACTGAAGCGTATTAACGAAAAAAATGTGCCCGACATTTTGTGAACAGTGATACGCACACTAAACTAAACTGCCTGGCCAAACTTACTATATGTCATTGAAGAACATACGTCCTTTAACGTCCGGACTGAAGCATATTAGCGAAAAATCTGCCTCAGAGAGTTGTAAAAAGTGGTGAATTAGCAAACTGTTCCGAAGCGAATGATCAAATCAGTATATTTAAAGAAATGGGTTATTTATGTTTCTCGATTTTTCCTATGAGCTAGGGTGAAAAATGAAAAATATACTTTTTGAAGGATTTTCTTATAACTTCCATACTGTAGTGCATCAGCAAACAATCGATAGAAAAGTGATTATTGCTGATTTTGTCGAAGTTTAGCAAACACACCAATCACCAAAGCTTAGACTGAACAACGCTTTATTAAAACCACATAAATTGCCATATCATCTTGATGAAATCTAGATAGCTGGTTTAAATCCGTTAAAGACTTACCTGTGTTGGTCCGTTTATATTTTATTCGTCCGTTTTTTTTTTTGTTCGATTTAATCTAGATTTTCGGCAATATGTCTGGGCTTACAGTCTTACGATGTTCACAAAACAATTCTCAAAAAAAAATTGTCATCCTGTTTCTTAAAAACCATCCCTCTGTGATGCCCAAGAAATCACCCGGTGAAGTTTGTTCGAGTTCTTTGTTAACGCCTTGTATAATAAATAAACAGCTAACATAAAAGCTACGACTTATAGTACATGAACAAGCAACATGAAAACAGTGTGACGAGATAAACCCACTATTCGCAACACGTTAAGTACTTCAAAGACAAGATTTCCATTAACTTAGAGACTTATAGCTCAAGATGAAGAGGAAGAACTTGCAGTTCAGCATTAATCTAATTATCATTTCATAGAAGAAAAGCAAAACAGATACTCTACTTCGAACACTTGAGTTTGAATAATTTTTTACATGCTAGAGTAGACTGTGCGCCAGGAACAACTAAGGAGAAATGGCAATTACAATTTTATTAATAAATTACTTCAATCGATCAAGAACTAAAATATTGGTCAACTATTTGCTTACTCATTAGTATTCCCTGATACCATTTTATAAAAAACTGTGGATAAGCTAACGAATCTAGGAGGTGTTTACAGGGTAGCCTGTAATGAAAAATTCGAGAAGCCAATCCTTAATAAGCTCGTGAAAATGACAATATTGAGCCAAATATGCCTTTGTAAAATGTTGCTGGATAATGAGATACAGCGCATCGAATTCTCTAAATCATTATTTCCAATACAATTAGATACTGTTTTTATTCTGTACTTTACGTATAGAGACGGTTAATTAATTCACATCATAAATTCTTGTCAATACCTTTTCATCTGACTTTTTACTGAAAATTTTGATAGACTGATTTCTAAGCAAAAGAAGAGATCTACACGTATTTCGATTAAACCAAACCTCTATCGTACAAGCGAATGTCTGAGATAACAATAACTCCTTAAAAGACTACATTAAGCAACTGCTCATGAGCCAGTCATTGGAATGTTGTAATCTCGAAAACTCTTTGTTTAATCGAAACGAATGCACCTTTTTACATGAGCACCATCACCTCATCATTAATAATAATAATAAAAAAATAATCAAACCTCGCATGGAAAAAAATGCGATGTGAAATACACTCCCGTCCAAATGTTCTTGTTGAAACGACAAAAACGTACGTATATGCTATACAATAGAGAATGACAACATCACGAAATGAACTTCGTCAACCTGTGTCTCAATAACTACCGATGTTTACTAACGCATATTTGACTCAATATCATCAACTTCATAGGTTAGTTAGGGTTCCACAGAAGGTATTGCAATAAAATGTCCACTGATTATGTGTATTTCTCGTAGAATTCCATTGGTCACAGTTTCTCTTTTACTTCTGAGCGTAATACTCTGCATAACTGAATGTACTTAATATACAGTTAAGAAGGTGTTTGTGTAGCTTTATAAAATGATTTTACGCAAGTTGTATGTTTAAAGTTAAGTAAAAGGTTTTAGAAATGAAATATTATTTAAGGAAAGTTTATATGTTGTTGCATTTGTAAGATTTATAGAAAATGTATTTATGTAGATATTCTATATTGTATTTTGACCAAGTGTATTTTAATAATAGTTGAAAATAAGAGGTTTTAAAGTAAATATTTTTATTATTTTACCTATATTTTCGGACAATTTATTGTAGTTGTACGCCACTGCTAACGCATGAATATGACGCGCAGATACAAAGGAATGCCGTATTAGCAATAGCAACCTGAACATTTTCTTTCCCAAGCCTATATTCTGGAACGCATTTCAACGTAATTTTAAAAAATACTTCCTAGTTCCTGCAATCGCGACAAAAACTTGCATACTGGGCAAATTTGATGTTCAGACTTCAATTTTACTTTAGTGATGGAACCCACAGCTCAGTCAACACAGCTTTGTGGTGCGCTTCCTGTTTCATTATCCAAAAACCGACCGCAAATTATTGGTTATATCGCGTCCTGAGATGATATGATAAAAACTAGTCAAGTCTTACGTATTTTGATGCTAAAATGCCAACTTGCAGGGTTAAACATACGTAGGTGTTTACCTTTCTTGTGTCTCAGTATATTATCGCGCTTTTTTATCTAGAGTTATGAAGTACTCATAAGGAGCTTAAAAACGATGTATCACATGACCCCAAAATCCATTTAAATTTTTTTTCCAAAATGGCGCCCGGTCGCAATCTTGAAATTTTCAACTGCCACTTTTACGCTAAAATAATTTTCATGCATTAATTTCATTAGCTTGAATTATAGCTTGCTAAGTTCAGAAAATAAGTGGAGGGGGATCTTTTTAAAAACACTGTATGTGGTTTCATTTGGCGGCTTCTCCACTGTCCATGCTACTTGCTTTCCCCATTTGATAACCTTGCTCAAGCTTTCACAAAAACATCCGGCACCCATCAGTGGACGTAGTAGGGGCACTGAAGGCATGAAGGTATTAAAATGATGCAAAAACAGGTTTGTATGATTTTATTTTAATATTTCAATTAAGAGAAATATAAAGTTATATAAACTAGGTATATGTAAATAACATGTTTTTTGATATGTAGGTGATCTGACAGCTGATGATGCTGCATAAGTAATAGACAAAAGGTCACCATTTAATGCAAAATCAGAAGTAGCTCAAAAACAAATCTAAATAATTTATTTTGTATACCTAGGTGGTTTTCCGGATTGAACTAATTTATTATAAGAATTTGTCACTTAATGCTTACATAGAATGAAGAAATGTGTCTTATCTCATAGCCAATCCAACAAAAAAGTCAGCTGAGGTCCATACCATCAGTATTTACTAATCATTCCGCCAGTATCAGTAAATTTCTACATAAGCTCATGAATCAATAATAACTGACGTCCAGGCTATACATTTTTCATGGATCCCAGGAAACATTAACAGTGTGACATCTGCCTGTCAAGAACAAATATATGATCTTATCATAGATTTCACCTTTTATAGGCCAAAATAATTTGGTTTCTAGGTGAAATACTGCTACTAAATGCAGGTACAATATCACAATCACAGTCATATTCCTTTAAATATAATAATCGATCTAACAAAATTATTGTTTCTACTAATGGAGCTAAGAGTAACCTCAATGAAAAGAATACTACAACTCTTTTCCATGTCTTATCAATCAATTCTGCATATTCTGCAATTTTATCATTTGATACCACTATGTTCAGTTTTTGTAAGACTTTAGTACAATATTTCTCAAAAGATAAATCTGAGTTCCACTTCACATTACACACCATAGTATGTTTTAATTTTGGATTTTCTGTAACCAATATTTTTTCTAACACAGCTCTATATGAATGTATTTTCAATTTATTATATTGTTCAGGATTATTCAGTCTATCAATGTAATCTTCTATAGCATGGCAGGCAATTTCACAAGATAAATAAGATAACTTAAAATTATTGTCATTACAATATTTGCTAAGAGGAAATGCAGGTGAACCTCCAAGGGGATTTAAAGTAAGTTTCATATAACAGCAACTTGCCATACAAATAAATGCAACATTTGGTGATTCTGAAAAATACTTCAATAATTTGGTACCCAAATCTCCACATGGATGTAAGCCAACAATACCAAATTTGAAAGTACTATCATGTTTTTTGAAGATTTCTTGTACTAAACATATAAATGCTCCTGCTGACAAGTCATCAGTTATTTTTTTATTCATATGAATGGTATTGGATTTTCTTTTATGTGAAACCTTCCTATAATTCAAAAGACTTTCAAAATTATCATCTAACTTATTTGCTAGTACAGATAAAGCTACATCTGCTTCGAAAGTGCAAACATTCAGTCCATACCCAAAAGATAACATCCTACTCAAATGTCCTAAGCCTGAACCAATATCTACAACATAAGAACAATTTGTTTTCAAAGATAGCTCATAACAATATTCTGCCATTATGCTGATCTCATGTCTTTTTTTCAGTTTCACACCTTTCCAGAACAACTTCATAAATGGGTCCTTGTCACTGAAGGCACAACTTATTTTAGGCCTCTGAATCTGCTCCCTTTTTAACGAATATGTAGCTATGAGCTTCCTGAGGCATAGAAATGATAGAGGGTATATTTTATACCTCAAAGGATGGTTTAAGCTAAGAATGTCACTCAGTTGTTGCGTTGAAACATCAACGAAATCAGTCTGCCACTTACTTGGCAAGTCTTCCCAAAGTTCTTCCAAGTAAAAGTCAGATACATAGGAGTTCAGGATGTTCTCGAACAACCTGATAGTTTTGAAAGATCTCGATAATATGAAGTTTGTGTCCATATTTAAAGCATATATCATTTAAAAATTAATTTTACATGTTTTGTATTTGGCAATTTGTAGGGTTATATTGTGACAGATTACATATTATTTTAAGAGCACCTTTGACAGTAATGTCGCTCTGTTGCCAGATTTTCTTCATTAATAGAGTTATAGTGCAGTCATATTCTATCCTTTCTTTGGGAGGTTGGGAGGCTATAGTTGTAGTCAGTGTTCTTGGCGGGTCAAAGTAAGACTATCAGGATCCCTTTATATATCCCTATCTCCCTCATACATACCCCTTATATTTAAACCATTTAAGACTGTGATCTAGCGAATGAACGCTATCACCAGAGGCTCACAGTACATGGGCGATTATCATTTCTCAAAAATGTAATATCACTCTACAGAAATATCCTGTTTCTTAAAAGTCAATAATGATTCACTTTGCTTTGTCCCATCACGACAGGTTTGATCAATTTAAGATCAGGCAACGTAGAAGCGATTAGTTTTAGTTCTTAGGATTTTTGGGTTATGTTTTGACACTGACAAAAAATAGACGGGTGCTTTGGTATATTTATGAATTTCAACATTAAAAGATAGTATGATAAATTGATCGTAATTTTTCGAAAATGTCCACAGCTGGAAGTGTTCTCATAGGTAAGTCTTTCGTTTCACCTACGGTATTTCATTTCTATTTTTCAATCCAACAAAATCGCTAGGCGGAGGAACCGGTTTCATTGGATCGGCACTGCGAAATGTCTTGAAGAGCAAAGGATATGGAGTAACAGTCATATCTCGCATGCCCGGTCCTAGTAGGATCTCTTGGAATGAACTAAATCACAAAGGACTGCCAAAAGACACCACAGCTGTTGTAAATCTTGCAGGCCAAAATGTTATGGACTTTACTAGAAGGTGGACTGCAGGTTTCAAACAAAATGTTTATAACTCCAGAGTGAATACCACAGCAACCTTGGCAAAGCTTATCAGTGAGGCAGTAGAAAAACCTTCAGTATTTGTTACAATATCGGGTGTTGGAGCATACAAACCTGACCCACAGAAAGAATACACTGAAGAATCACCTTGTGGCGAGTTTGACTTTTTTTCAAAGTTATGTAAAGATTGGGAAAAAGCAGCTGAACTGAATTGTGATGCTAAACAAAAATGTAGAGTTGTCACAATTCGAAGTGGTGTCGTATTAGGCAGGGAAGGAGGCATGATAAAACAGTTGTATCTTCCATTTTACTTGGGTCTGGGAGGCCCTATAGGCACGGGAAACCAGTATATGCCCTGGATCCATATTGATGACCTAACAAGCCTTATTGTATATGCTATTGAAAATCCTAAAGTTGAAGGAGTGCTGAATGGGGTAGCACCTGTGCCCTGTACAAATAAAGAGTTTTCTTTAGTGAGTTTCAGAACACTTATTATATAATGTCTCTGATTAATGTTTATTATTTTAGGCATTTGGAAAAGCGCTACATAGACCTGCTTTCATACCAATCCCAAGTATTGTGTTTGATATACTCCTAAATAAAGAAAGAGCCATCATGGTAACTGAAGGCCAGAAAGTCATACCAAAAAATACACTATCTAGTGGATTCAAGTACAAATATCAAAATATTGAAGTAGCTTGTAAATCCTTAGTAGCATAGAAAGTTTACTGATTTATTTATATATTTATTTGAATAAAATTTATTTTACATCTGAAGTGATACAATACTTGTTTCTAAAAGTAAATACAATATATTATTAGTGGCATGAATTCCAAGTATCTCTTCATCAACTGGTATATTGACAACCTGTTGTTCAGCAACACTATGAATCCTCCTACCAGTTGAGCGGTTTCTCAGTTCTGTATCTGTTATAGATCTATCTTGTCTGTATATAAACAGATGTCTTGTTGATTCACTTATTACAGAATAACTAAGGTCTGGTGGACATGCTATGAATTTTCTATTCTGCTTTGATGCCTACAAAAAAAGAATAGGGGCTTTCACAATTGTCTCCAAAATTTCAGCAATAGAGAATGTGCATGATTTTCTATCAATTATTTATGTTAATACTGTAAACACATATCTCATTCTTGGAAATATGTATATTTATTTCTGATTAAATATTTAAAAGTGCAATTACAATGACGTAGCGCTTCGCAGTGACATCACCATCCCCAACATGTCATTTCATTTTTTTTTTTGTTAGTTTGCTGTTGAATATTTGTCATACGATTTGTACTAGTTATAGGTAATGTTTATTACAAACACAATTAGGTTAAGAAGCTGGAAAATAACGTAAATAAACACCATGAATCACTTGCTCACCTTACAGCCTGGCAATTCTGTATTTGAGGCAATAATGTGAGCATAAAAGCGGAAGATTATAATAATAATGCCTTTATTAATTGCAGTGAGGTGAAGTTTACTCTTATACTTAACCCCAAAACACAAAAGAAAATAATACTGTACAAAATTTTTTTTTTTAAAATACAACCTTTAAACATGACATCACTGAATAAGATAAATGCAAGGACCATTGTAAGGATATTAAGCAATAAAGAAAGACTCTCATATCAACATGAAATAATAATGAAGACCACTTTCAGTCATTGTTGACTGCACTCAGGAAAGTCATATTTCAAGAACTAAGTCTGTAGTATAAATTACCCAAGAAAGTTGAAAAAACGACCTGATAAATAATGATTCTCTCGAAATCGTCAAACTGACAGGTTGACAATCGATGACAGTGAGAATAAAAGCCTACCATTTTCAATAGGACTGACCAATCAGCTAAGGGCTGGCTCCTTACAAGTTGCAAATGGCGATATCACGACAACAGTGTTTCATTTCGACATTTTAAATTTACCGCGATTTTCTCCATTTTTATTATTTGTGATTATATAGGGTCGAAGTATAAGATAAGTTTGAAGGTGTCATTATGTAGCAAATTAGACTGTAAATAAAAATAATTAACTAATATTTGAACCACATGCATATTCTTATGCAGTTTATTTTTTTTTTTGTCTAGTCTCTGATACGTACTTGAACATAACCAAATGCTAGCAATGTTCCTTCATGTGTGATTTCAAAATTCCCATCACAATTTTTTGGTTGCCAAATGCACACGTCTACATCATGGCGGATTCCTATGGCAGGAGGCAAACATGGATCCAATGTACATGTTACTAGCACCAGATGTGAACCCAAATTCACCTTGTGAGTTGCTTGGTTTGTTTTTCCACAAAATCGTTCAAAACTACCTGATTTGTCAGTCTCAAAATCGCATTCTTCAATCTGTTGGCTATTAAATGTTGCACCAGTTTGTGGAGCAGTCTGAAATCATCCTTGCTTAGATATACCATATAGGTATATGCACAATAATACTTACCTCACTCTCACTACAAAGTTGTGCCAATTTTTCATGAACTTCTTGCACTATACATGTGTCTAATACATATTCACCAGTGTTATCACCAACAATAAGTTCCGGCCACATAAGTCCATTTTCACTCTTATTCAGAATTACTTGTAACACACTTTCTTCAATACTCCAAGTGGTCAAATCTGAATCAATTCTCTGATACAAATCACCACTTGCCAAAATGTTTGCCTCACATTTTATTTCTAATTTTGTGGGTTCTGTTTGAATTTGTACCTGATTGCTAGTAGTACCATCAGGCAATGGTAACTTAATGGTTATGTCTTCGAGGTTTTGTGTCCACTGATAAGCTTTTGCAGGATCTACCTCTATCTGGTCGCTTTTCATTGGGGTGTCAGAGTTTAATGTGAACTTACAGTCATTTTCACTAACTACATATAAGGCATCACATTGTTTTTCAAATGCTGCATATTGGATAAACCCTAGAACAAAGGATATTGCAACAAAATTAATGCCTAGTGCTCATACATGTTTTTAAAACTTATATCTATAGTACAGGTACAGAATTTTCACCAGTCTCCATTGCATCAATCATGTCAGCAAATAACACCTGACTGTCTAGTAACTTTTCAAAATACCCCATTCATACTTCCTAATGCTCTTATTTAGAAAAGCTCCTTTGCATACAAGAAAATGTGCTACAAGCAAAATGAAACAAGAACAGAACAAGATAAACTGTTTTTAATTATGTTTGGTGTAAATAGTTCTCAATGTGGTCCTGAGTTTTACCTTATTCATAGCCAATTCATTATTGCTAACACTACAGACTTCAACACAAAGATGCCACTGGGCTGATCAGCTGACCACAAAATATAATAGAAACTTATAAGACAGCCATTGCCAAAGATACTACATACTTCGAAGTTGAGTCATTTATTTTAACAGTGAGTAGATCTGATCAAAAGAAATGTTTTTTTCCTTTACCATTTTTCTGGTAAAATTAAAGTAACAAAGTTATAGCCCTTTGGAAGTTTGAGTACCGCCCTGTCTCAATAATGATATTATGTTCTCGTGTTTGGCAACAACAGATATAATCCGCCTTATCCGTTCATCGCATCGGAAACAAAAAAGCGAAAGAATTTGGAACGATCTTTTTACAATTATTTTCTTCAGTTGTATACAGTCAGTATCAGTCGGTAGTCGGTAACGCGTAAGTGAATAATCGTGTCTGTTGCGAGGCTCAAATCAAAAATGGCTCATGTTTACGAAAATGCTGAACTTGTGGACATGGTTCTTATTTACGGGGAGTCTTTACAAAATGCTGCCGCGGCATCACGGATCTATGCGGATCGGTTTCCCAATCGAGTGCAACCAACCCCTCGTGCCTTTGTTAATGTAGTGCAAAGAGCTCGTGAATCAGGTGACTTAAGACCTCACAGAGGAGATCATGCCGGTGCTCCAAGACCACACGATCAAATAGAACTAGAAGAACAAATTTTAGAATTAGTAAGTGATGATCCAACAGTAAGCACCCGACAAATTTCAACTCAATTGGCGATTAGTCAGTATAAAACTTGGAAAACTCTACGTGAAAATCAGTTCTATCCGTTTCACATACAAAAAGTGCAGGACTTACAACCGGAAGATCATGAACAAAGGGTTGACTTTTGCAATTGGCTTTTAAATAAACATCAAAATGATGACAATTTTTTAAATCAAATTTTAGTGAGTGATGAAGCCCTCTTTACTAGAAACGGAATTATTAATTCACGTAATTCTCACGTTTGGGCTATTGAAAATCCCCATGAAATAAGGGAAACCAATTTTCAACAGCGATTTGAACCAATCAACCTGTGGGCGGGAATTGTTAATGGAATTTTAGTGGGGCCTTTTGAATTACCAAATCGCTTAACTGGTGAAAATTATTTTGATTTCTTGCAACACAATTTGCCTGGTTTACTGGAAGATGTGCCTTTAAATATTAGACAAAACATGTGGTTTTTACAAGATGGGGCACCACCCCATTATGCAAGAAATGTGCGTGAATTTTTAAATAGACAATTTAATAATCGTTGGATCGGCCGTGGCGGTTTTGTACCTTGGCCGCCAAGGTCTCCGGACTTAAATCCTTTAGACTTTTGTTTGTGGGGTTGGCTAAAAACTCTAGTGTATAAAACACCGGTTAATACACGCGAAGAATTACGTGCTCGAATTGAGGAAATGAGTACAGTGATCAGAAATCAACCAGTGATTTTATTGCGTGCTTGTAAAGAGACATGGCTAAGACGCGCCCAGCTGTGCGTCGAGCAAAACGGAAATCATTTCGAACAGTTTTTGTGACATGCTTTTGGGCGCACAGGTCCGCACTGAAATACTTGTCGGGAGGATACTTTATAAAACAAGGTAACATTTTTTTTTTAATTTTTTTTTATTTTTACACACATATTTTGGTTTATCTTCCTTCTACAATCATTATCTGAAAATTAATGACTCAACTTCAAAGTCACCCTGTATAGGTCTAGCAAAAGAGTATCTAAATTTCAAATTTACACTTGCCTTTAGATTTTAGTTGTTTTAATGCTGTTTGTGCCCAATTTTCACTACCAGTTTTGACCAAAGTGATCCAATGCAACACAGAGATGAATCTTTCCTTTTGGCCATGTGGTTCCTGTTTAATAGACAGTAAAACAGCATGGAGCTCCTGAGACTTTTCATCCTGTTTAAAAACTGCATCAATTACCACAAATGGTTCTTTGTCTCCAATCACTTCTTCTGAAAAGCAAATGGTGAATGTTTCATTATTATTCCTGTTCCCAGTATTGACTATGTACAGTGTTCCTCTTCCATCCCCTATGACTGCTAAATCCGCTGTTACAAATTTCATTGAAAGATTGTAATCTCCAGATTTTTGCTGCTCTTTGCCTGGAACTTGCCACAGCAATACAGGATCAATGAATTCTTCTGTTAAAGGATCCAAACAAGTTTTACAAATGTTCCATTCATTGTCAATGAAATACACAGAATCGTTTTCTCCATTATAATCGCCTATTAAAAAATTGTGAAGGCCAAATAGTTTTGCGTGTAAAACCGAAAATTGATTAGGGCTGAGGAGTACTCTGTGTACAGCTCTTGGAAGCTCCTTCTTCTTGAGTGGTATTTGTTTCAAAGTCAACTTATATCCATCAAAATTAGGATCCAAAAGAGTTCTTTCTGGTGTCAGCTCAATAAGCGTAGGGGTCATGTTTATTATCGTCTTATATTTATTACTCTTTTTGAGAAATTCCTGAGAGAATACGTATGAACGTATGCAAAGCAAAACACATAAGTTTTGTGAGGTTAAGTAATTGTCAAGTCCCAAGTGGTGACATGAATTAAGCCGGCCACGCATCGCTGTTTGTTTAACAATATTGGCTTGTCATATCCATGTAGTAGTTATTCATGTGCCACATGATTAGCTAATCTGGTCCTTGTTCAGTCTAGTACAGTTTAATCAATTCTACTTGAAAAAATCCACGATGGGGGCAGAAACGTCGCATCGTCAGAGAAAAGTAACTCAAGCTAGCGCCTATCTGAACAATTGTCTTGCGTAAGCACATTCATTCCACATGGACCTAGAACTTTGTAGGCGACTTCTTTAGAATAAAATAACCAAGAAGAGGTGGGCGTAGTTGCATAACTCTATTGCGCTTATTAAATGGGTTTGGGAATGCATAGGTTTCCGGCGAATAAGTTCTCAAGTTTTTCGTATCGTCAAATTTCAACACAAAATTGCCTTTCTGCTTGGGATAAGATTGATTGATAGTGGCAAGATTCCTCCAAATGTTCTCCTGCTTTATTTATTTAGCGTATGGTTCACATTCTACTTGTACATAAATAGGTATATATAAAAGATATATAACACTGCTACTTCTAGTTACAAAACATGGCAGACAGAAAGTCTCAAGATTTTGATATATATGTTAGCGGCGCCGCTGTGGCTACCCATAATTCCTCTCAAAAGGGTGAAATGATATCGTTATCTTCTGCGACGGAAGGAGAAGCACGAGGGGTCCGGGGACGACTACTACCTGCGATCCCTCGCAGGTAGTAGCGAAGATGACGACAGTCACGTACCTACAACCAAACAAATTGTGCCTAAATACGGAGTAAATGGTAGTACTCGGAATAAAGTATTGATTGGGGATAGACGTGTATTTTTTTTGGGGTAAAAGCCAAATCAAAACTACCCCGTTTCTTACATCAGAAGTGGGATTACATCCGTGCCGCATTTTCCACTTTATATTGGACAAAAAAAAAAAAGGGGAACAATGTCGGAAGAAAACAGTCCTCGTCGCGAAAGTGTCGAAGTCGCGTGTAGTGCCGAAGTGGATACCGAGGAAGTGGCTATGTCTCCGCCAACTCCTAAATGGCGGAAAGTTGAGTGGCAGGAGACATTGATGAACTTAGTGGCTGCACAACAGCAACAGTTAGCCGAGTTAACTCGGCAGTACAGAATGACATCGTCCGCCCCGCCAACACCCAGGGATGCCATCGTAGATGGCACACAGACTACGATGTCTGGACATACGTCGTTTAAGCTCACTACGTTCGATCCCGACAAAACTGCATACTCCATCGGGGAATGGCTGGATGACGCTACGAAGCTTAAAGATGAACTAGGTATCAGTGATAATTTAATGATTGCTAAGGCTAGCGAAGCTCTCAAAAATCGTGCGTATCAATACTGTTGCGATTGGAGACCGAGATGCCGAACCTGGAAAATATTCTGTGACGACCTAGTGGTAGCCTTTCCAGACCAGGAGACTCCAGGTGCCCGTGCTTTTAAGGCAGCTACACTCCGGAGTAACGATTGTGAAACTTTATGCGAATATGGCAACCAAAAGCTACGTTATATTCGCAGATTCCAAGAAAACTTGCCATGGAACAAGGTACTTAGCATGGTGGAATATGGGCTGGATAACACAGAAGCCCGTTCTACTTTGCGCATTCAAATTCCGGACTCAGAGCGAGAGTTAATGAAGCTGTTTTGCGAAATGGATGCGCGCCAAGTTGGCCGGTCAAGCAAATTCAGGAGAGCTAGCGTACTCACAGGAACAACCTACAGATCAGAACATCATTCTAAGAACCACTACAACCAGAAACCAGCTAAAATAATTAAAAGTACTTGTTTCAACTGTGGTCGCAGGGGACATCACCAGAATACATGTCGTGTCGTGCAAATGGACAAAACAGTGGAAGTTGATGAAAAAGCCGAAACTACTGCCGTGCCATCTTGCACTTATTGCAAAAAGATGGGGTCAAAACATGGGAGGCCCAAGAAAGCATTTGTATTGAAGAAACGACGCCAGCTACAAGTTACTCCGATAGCAACATTATTGTGTAATAACCAAGCAACATTATTTACCTATATCATTGACAGTGGTGCCGATGTATCCATAGTGAAACGCTCTGTCATAAGAACAATTAATGGCATTGTCAGGTCATCCGAACAAGTGCGTGCCTTTTCGGGACTCGGGAACAAATCTGTTTACGCCGAGGGTGTGAGCGACCTGATAGTCGTTCTGCCAAATGTGACTTTAGAGATAACTTTCACCGTGGTGTGTGACAGTGCTATTCCGGGTGATGTTGACGTTATTATTGGATGGGATGTTATCGGTCGACCATCTGTGCGAGTTGAAAAGAATGCCGATGGCCTGGATTTACATTGTGAACCAGTTAATGCGATGAAATTGTTCACCCTAAAGACTTCTGTGGATGTTAAGATAAATCAGCAAGGGCTAGATGACAGCTTAAAGCCACAAGTGGAGAAATTACTAACACTCTATAAAAGCAAAACGCCTGAAACGATTACAACAGGTAAAATGACCATTCGATTAAAAGACAGTACTCCGGTTTCATACCGTGCACGTCGTTTAGCACTTCAAGAACGAATAGAAGTTAACAAAATAATTGACGATCTTTTGTCTAAAGGAATCATCCGAAAGAGTCGTTCAGAATATGCCAGTCCTATTGTTCTAGTTAAAAAGAAGAGCAATGAGACAAGGATGTGTGTTGATTACCGAGATATAAACAAACGTGTTTATAAAGAAATATACCCCCTACCCGTTATCGAAGAACAGGTGAACTCATTGTCTCACGCCAAATACTTCACTACACTAGATATGAAGTCTGGTTTTTATCAAATGGAAATTGAGGAAAGTTCCAGACACATTACTGCGTTTATCACACCAGATGGGCTCTATGAATTTAACCGTATGCCTTTTGGATATGTCAATGCCCCGGCAATATATCAGCGAGCAATTGACGAGGCTTTGGGAGACCTGAAAGGCAATAAGGCTTTTGTCTACCTTGATGATGTGCTCGTGCCGTCGGCGACAATAGAAGACGGCTTGCAATATCTGGAGGAAGTGTTGAGTGCTTTGGCTATTCATGGATTTTCCTTGAACTATGAAAAGTGTAAATTTTTTGAGAAACAGATAGAGTATCTTGGTGTCCTATTGAGTGAAGGAACAATTCGCCCTAGTCCGAGAAAAGTGAATGCGCTAACCCAATCACCTTCTCCGACAAGTGTTAAAGGTATTCGCCAGTTTATGGGACTCGCGGGTTATTTTCGCAAGTTCATTAAAGACTTCTCCATCATTACGGCTCCAATTACGGCTTTGTTACGAAAAAACCGTGTTTTCGAGTGGACTCCCGAATGTGAGCGGGCAAGGCAATTTATTATGGACAAACTGACCAGTTCTCCTGTATTACGAATGTTCAATCCCGCCCTGAGTTGTGAACTTCACACTGACGCGAGTTCAGTGGGACTTGGCGCTGTGCTGCTCCAAAAAGAAGACGGTGTTTCGCGACCTGTCGCCTATTATAGCCGTCGGACGACCGATTACGAATCAAGGTATCACTCGTATGATTTAGAGACACTTGCTGTAGTGGAAGCTGTTGAGCGATTTCGAGTTTATTTGTACGGAGTGCACTTTGTGGTGTACACTGACTGTAATTCAGTGAGAGCAACTGCTTTGAAGAAAGACTTACACCCCCGTGTAGCACGTTGGTGGATTAAGTTACAGGACTACGACTTTAGCATCGAGCATCGTCCCGGAAGTAAAATGGCCCACGTGGACTATCTGAGTCGAAACCCACCAGAGGAAGAATCTGCGCTGAAGGTGTTCGCTTTGAAAACTATAAACGTGAGTAGACTATTAGATGTCAAAACTTTGCGAAGTTTTCAGGAGCAAGACACATTCTGTTTTGAAATCCTGAATAATCCAGAAATAAATCCCAACTTTATTGTAAAAAATAATGTCGTTGTGACCAAGTCAAAACCCCATAAGTGTTTTGTTCCCATTGAAGCACGCCTTTTGACAATGAAACTATATCATGATGAATCATCGCACATTGGTTTCGACAAATGTATAGCCAAATTACGGGAGGATTTATTTTGGCCAAAAATGGGCAAATGTTTGAAAAAGTACATTAGGAACTGTCGAGCATGTGTACTAGGAAAATCACATACCGGTCGCAGAGTAGGATGGTGGCAGCATGGCGAAAAACCTGATGATATCCTCCACACTTGGCACATTGATCATGCAGGACCTTTGATAAAATCAAATGGATGCACGCACATCTTGGTAATAATTGATGCCTTCTCTAAATATTGCCGTCTCCAACCAATCCCAAAGAAAACATCTGAAGATAGCATCCGTGCTTTGTTACCAGTTTTTCAAGAGCTGGGGACCCCGAAACGCATAATAGCCGACAGAGCAGCCGCATTCACATCGGTGACATTCCAGAATTTCCTTAGTGAGCAAGGAGTTCAGTTACATCATATAGCGACTGGAATGCCTCGAGGAAATGGACAAGTAGAGCGTGTTATGCGCACATGTTTCAATTTACTGCGAGCTACACTTATGAGCGAAAATGAGGAGCAGTGGACAACGATATTGCCAGCTATAGAAGAGGATCTAAATAACACAATCCATTCGACAACTGGTTACGCACCTGCAGTACTCCAACTGGGAAACAACCCTAGACTGTCAGCAACGCAACAATTTTTAGGAGATGCGCCGGTAGCGGATAACTTCATTGATAGCGACGAAGCTGTAGGCCAGGCTCGGATTCGTATTGAAGATGAAGGAAAAAAGAACGCTCAACGGTTTAATGCAGCTCGCTACCGGACAAGCTTATTTGACATTGGGATCTTGTGGCTGTCGAAGACTCCCAGTTAGCTGGAGGCGGAAAATTGAAACCGAAGTTTAAAGGACCCTTCACTGTCCGAAGCGTCCTTCCTAACGACAGATATTTGCTAGGCGGAAAAGGACGACGTACTACAGTAGCCGCTCATGAGCAACTACGACGTTGGCCCTCCCAGAACTGACACATAGAATGAAAGTGTACGTAGAATACAATACTCGTATCATAAATCACACTTTCAGATAAGGTCTGGCTTTTAGCAGCAACACAAAATGGTTTGGTGCTAATCGCAACAGAAAAATTCTGACTGTGTATAAAATGTTGATGAATTTAAAAAAAAAAAGAAATTTATTTCAAGAGATTCATATGTCTGACATTTGGCAGCATCTGAATGCGTACGAAAGATTAAATAACAGAGACCATAGTAAAAGGAATAAGTCATCCTTTTTTTTATTGTTTTCTCGTATTTGTGTTTGAATATTGTTACGATCAGATAAGGTCTGGCTTTTGACAGCAACAGAAAATGTCTGGCTGTGAATAGCAACAGAAAATCTCTGACCGTCAAAATAAGGAAAAAAATATAAATTAAAATAAGAGTGGTGTTGTCACTTTCAGATAAGGTCTGGCTTTTAGTGGAATTGCAACAGAAAAATTCTGATTGTGTACAAAGTACTGATGAAATTTAATTGAAAATGTTTTGACACATTCAAATTAGGTCTGACATTTGGCAGCATCTAATTGTGTATAAAAGATGAAAATAAAAATGATACAGATGTTTGTATTATTTTTGAGGATTGTTACGATCAGATAAGGTCTGGCTTTTGACAGCAACAGAAAATGTCTGGCTGTGAATAGCAACAGAAAATTTCTGATCGTGTGAAAATAATGTTTTGACACATTCAAATTAGGTCTGACATTTGGCAACATCTAATTGTGTATAAAAGATGAAAATAAAAATGATACAGATGTTTGTATTATTTTTGAGGATTGTTACGATCAGATAAGGTCTGGCTTTTGACAGCAACAGAAAATGTCTGGCTGTGAATAGCAACAGAAAATTTCTGATCGTGTGAAAAGAAAAGTAATAAAATGAGTTCTAAAAAAAAAATGGTGATAATAATTATGGAAATATGTCACATTTAGATGAGGTCTGGCATTTAACGGCACCAGAAAAACCTGGATGTTAAACGCTGTTACTGCATAAAAAAAATAATATTATGTCTGGTCTCAATTGAGATCGATTGTGAGATAATACAATTGTCATGCACAAATTTTGGCTTGGTGTTTGTTATTCCAGGTGTGGTGCGTGGACGCTCCACTTATCTCGGATGGCCGTGTTAGCGGCGCCGCTGTGGCTACCCATAATTCCTCTCAAAAGGGTGAAATGATATCGTTATCTTCTGCGACGGAAGGAGAAGCACGAGGGGTCCGGGGACGACTACTACCTGCGATCCCTCGCAGGTAGTAGCGAAGATGACGACAGTCACGTACCTACAACCAAACAAATTGTGCCTAAATACGGAGTAAATGGTAGTACTCGGAATAAAGTATTGATTGGGGATAGACGTGTATTTTTTTTGGGGTAAAAGCCAAATCAAAACTACCCCGTTTCTTACATATATAAGCACGACCAGTGTAGGTACGTCTGGAAGGACTAACAAAAAGAGTAGCGTCTATGGCTGGCTTAAGAGATTCATTATCCTCATCACTAGCCTTAACTCCCTTAACCTAGAATATCAGTGAATTGTCAGATTGTCACGACACGACACAGCTGATAACTGATTAAAGTTAGGTTAAAAAACGAACGACCGCTGCGTTTTTGAAATTGTGTGTTGAAAAACTGAAAATCGAGAATATTAATACAGAAAAATGTCCGACTCCAATGAAGATGGCTTCAACGTGAACATGCGACTTCCCACTTCTCTGACTCTCTCAAAATTTGCCGTAGCTAGAGGCAGAGAAATTCAAATAATGAAAAACTCCCTTTCCACCTCAACCTGTACAAAGCTAGCTTTTCAAAAACTGCCCAAACACTTGCGTCGTAGAACCATGTCCCACAATGTCAAAAGACTACCAAGACGTCTTCGAATGATCCATTTAGCCCAAATGAAGAAATCCGGTTTACCACCAAAACAAAAAAGACCGTCCCGAAAATATAGACGAAGACCTAGAAATTTATTGAGTGAATATACTAGAAGACAACGTAGAATAAATTGGCTCAACACACACATTTGGCATGCCAAAAGGTTTCATATGGTAGAAAAATGGGGCTATAAGCTACCACATTGCCCATGTGATAAGGCATTTAGGGCATGCTATAGAGCAACTACTAAACACTGTCTTATGCAAGATATTTCATACCACAAATGTATAGAGATCAGTGGGGAATTTGAAAAACTTGTTGATAGTTTCAAGAAAATCACTGATCCCAATATTGGTCTTACAATTGGTGCATATGCATATAAAAAAGGTTCAAAGGAAGGCAGGATAGTACTTCATGATATCGACAACCCAAGCAAAGTTATAGGAGATGTGAGTTTTCTGTGGAGACCAATTAAAACCAAATTCCTCAACCAATCTGTGAGCCACTTGTGGCTTTGGTTACATCCTTCATTTCAATCAGAAGCTCTGAGGACTATAAAAAAGTGTTTTGGTTTTCCTGATGTTACATCAGATGGGGTACAAACACTGAAAAGCAATGATAATATACAGTTGAGAGAAAATATGTATGATTTAAATAGATTCAGATTAACAGGCCCTTTGTCAACTGCAGTGCTATGCAATGCATTTCAGTTAAGTGAAAAGCACACTGTAGACTGGTTGAAGGATTTTCAAAATTTGCCTGGGGAACACTTATTAAAGATGAAGCCCTATTGGGAATATTTGAGGTCTGTATCAGATCCTTCAGTGCTGCCACCTCATTTTGTGTTACCTCTGATAATTCTTGACCCTAGATACAATTTTCCAAAAGCAAAAACAAAATCACTACCATTGAAAAAAAGTGCTCTTGAACAAATTCAGGATCCAAACATAACTGATAGCCCCCTGTGGAGCTTTAAAATAAGATGTCTTTTGCCACATAGAAAGGTGTCGAATGCTAAAATAGCTGAGATGCGCCAGAGTCTGTTAGTACCTGGTTCTGATCTTGAACTACCTCCAGAAGCAATACCAGTCATTTTAGTGCAGAGACCTGGTGTCAGAAGTAATCAGTATAATGGTGAGTTTAATGGAGTAGGTTGACTTTTGCTGCATTTATGGTGTTTGATACTGAATAGAGGTAGGTTAGGTAAGAGTAGAGTTTGACTCAAGTTAGGTTTGGGTTGATATATTGCAATGAATGGATAAACCTATAACTTGCATATTTCATGATGTTTATTGGAAGTTTTGGTTGCAAAAGAGCTTTTAATAATGTGGAGCTATTTATAATTATTGGAATTAGGACATAAAGAGTCCATGCAGCCAGTCTCAATATATATAATAACAGCAATAATAATAATAGGCAGGTAAATTTGTATGTTGGTTTCCTTAAGAAATTTAACAATGCAATAGAAATGTAGAACTATTTCCCAATGATAAAGTCAAACAATTTCACTTGAAAAGTATTTCTAGGAATCTGATGCTGATGTTGTATGTGATGCCTAAACTACAAAAACACTTTTTTTACATGAAAATAATGTTAAATCCTGAAACTGAAACATAAGGTTAGCACCAAGTGAACTGATCTGCCGATGAGTATTTTTTACTGATATCTCTGTGGCAGGTGATAAACCTCAACCCAGGGAATGTAACCCCAGCCGTCATAAATGGAGCGGCAATTTAACTCCGGTCTCCAATGAACGTCTAAAAATCGGATTTGAAAGAGTTTAACTCAGGTTGATGCTATGAATGCACTGTTAGTACTCAATTTTCATTTGCAAATAAGCAATTTGTAAAACAACAAAAATTCTGATTAAGCTCTGATATTCTAAGTATCTAAGTGATGTTATTGCTGATAACTGATACAAGATGATAAAAAGACAAAATAGACAAACACACATCGTCAGTGTTTTATATAGTAACTGTGTAACCATATTCAACATTTTACTATATTTTGGCACTATTTTTTTTGTATTTATTGTATTTTATACCACGTGACTCATAGACATATGTATGATGTTTTTGCTATAGCAGATCTAGTTGTATCATTCCTGAGATTGGATGTACCCTGTTGGAATAAAGATTAATATTATTACAAAGGGTACTATAAAAGTTTTGCAATACAGTTTTATTTATTGACTTCATTCAAAGTAATGTCCACCACAATACACTTCTCCATCAGCCAAAACCAGTCCTTAAACCAGCTCTGCCAAGTTGCACCCAGGAGTGAGGCACACTCATCCCAAGCCCTCAGAAGTTCATCATCACTAGAAAACCATTGTCCTTTTAGCTTCATTTTCACCTGTGAAAACAGTGCAAAGTCGCAGGGAGCAAGATCTGAACTGGTGCTCAATAAGTTTCATTCCAGTAGTGGTCAAATACTTGGTGCAGGCTTTGGCGCGATGAGCTAGGGCGTTGTCATGGTGGAGGTACCAAGTGTCCATTCTTGCCTTTGGCCGCAGGTGTTTCATAGACTCTATGACTTTAGGCAGGTACTGTTCAGTGTACCACTTAGCTGTGACAGTCTTCTGTGTGTCCAAAACGACACGCTCCACAATCCCGATCGATTTGAAAAATACAGCTATTTTTTTTAACAGATCGGGATTTTCTGACAGCTCCGGGTGTGTCCTCATCATCAAAGACCCAAACTTTTTTTTGAGCCTTGGTTGGCACATCGTAATAATAGAACCAAGCCTCGTCATCTGACACGATGCTGTTCACATACCGAGAATGCCCCTTATCAAATGTTTTCAGCATCTTCCTGCACCAAGTCGTGCGACGAGCCTTCTGCTCTTCCGTCAGACTATCTGGTCCCCAGAGAGAACAAACTTTCCTTATGTGTAATCGGTCATGTAGAATTCAATGAATTGCTGGTGCATGAACGTGTAAGGTCTCCTCTGTCTGTTGGTATGTTACTCTCCAGTCTTCGGCAAGCATTTTCCTCACCGCAGTAATGTTTTCCTCTGTTACTGATGTTCGCGGCCTCCAGAGTGAATTTGTCCCTTTAGAATTCTCTGTACCACCTGAATATAGTCGTACGATGAGGACAATCATTCTTTAATGCAAGCGTCATTTCTTCTAAGCACTGGTCTATGCTTAAACCACGCGTAAAGTTATAGCGTAAAACTGCCCCTTATCTCACTACGTGACCACGATGCCATAGTCCGCTTTACACTGTCAATATGAATGAACAACTAAATCAACAGACGTGCTGCTGGCGGCTACTATGCACTCATGGACATGTCTCAACATGCAGCTTCCTGCATCCGTTTGTTACGTCATACCATATTGCAAACCCTTTGTATTATTATTATATTATTAGTTTACCTATTTTTTTTTAATTAAACTACTGACTGTGCATTGACATTTATTAATGGAAAATGGTCTTGAATATGACTAAAATATAGCATAGAGTTCACTAAGCAAATATTTGTATTATATTTGTAGGATATAGCAGTGGTTGGGATATAATACTGCCTGCAACATATGCTCAACCAATATGGCTGTCACTTATTATGTGGGGAGGAAGACCAGGTGGACTAAGAGAAACTGACTCAATTGGTTTTGAGGCCAATGCAGAACCAATGTTGAGCCCTGACACAAAAGCAGGTGTTGAAGAGGAGGTGCTCGTTTCCAATAAATGCAAAGACGAATTTTTTAGGCTTCCTCCAAATAAAAGGACAAATTACAATAAATTCAGAATTACTAGTCCATTTGAATTCAACTGGAAACTGTTGTTGAATGAATGGAAAAGTTCTGACATACCTGTTGAAGACTTTACTGTGATCAGGGATAAGAAAGTGCTCAGACAAATTCAGGTTAGCTTTTTAAATACACATTTTTTTGGAAAATGTTATCACAAATTATTAAATCTATCCATTCATTCGTTTTAAAATTATCTTTCCAGAGCTAGGCTAACACAAGAGAATATCTTTCAGATAAATAGCCTTTTTGTTCTTCAATTTTTGAAGCACTTTCATGAAAATTATTGTACATATAACATCTGCTTCATTTACTTTGCAGCAAGTCCTATCATCTAGTGACAAGAATGCAAAACTACCTCAACTTGCTGAAAATCAGTTGGTTCCTGTAACAATAAGCCTATTAAAGAAAGGGCCGTGTCATAATTTTGCAATAATTTGTCTCCCAGAAAGCAAAGATTTCTCCAAAGAGCCCACAGAACCAAATTGCAGAGATTCCAATGAAAGCAAAAGAAAGCAAATGAGGAAAGAACATAAATCTTTACTGAAAAAGTTGAGGAAACGAAGAGTCAGGGCTAAAAGAGATAATAAGGTAAAAATGGAATTTTCCATGCATCTTGATATTAATTTTTACATACTTGAAATGGAGTGTTGCACATAATTTACAAGTAAATCTAATTTAACCACAGTAACATTACAAAACTGGATCCTTGATTCATATCTGTTTGAAATAAGATTCTCTGACGAATCTATGCCAATGAACTGCAATCCATCATTGCCTTCAATGTCATATAACCCAAGCTATCAGAGTCGTTAAAATTAGATCCCTCTAATATTTGCCATCATGAAAAGCCGCGTCTATTTGAGCAATGCCATATTATATAAGTTTATAAGCAAAACTAATGTCGCAACAAGTTTTTCAAAACCAGTTCCACAGTGTATACTGAGCTTTATGCAAAATTGAATTCTGTTTGCTGAGTCACAGTTACATTATAATACTGAACTTACATATTATTGCAGATTATCCCTCTAGACAAGGAAATGCTTAAGAATTACACCATGCAAATGAGAAAATTATGGCTTCCCGAAACTAAAACTTTACGACACTCTTGCTCTCGAGAAGTAATGGGATTTGTAAAGCAAGGAGGTTTTAGCTTTCTTCTAAGCAAGTCGAAAGGTATTGGATACATTGCGTCATGTTCACTGGAGAAATTACTATTTCTGAAGTGCAAAAATAAAGTTTTGATTAGGAATACAAATTCTAAACAATATAGGCTAGGAATCTTAGATGTTATTATTGATTAAATATAATTTTGTTGATGATACTTATAGTTCTTTTCACGGTATCATAGCTTAACTTCCCACTAGGGAAATTGCAGATTCCCCAAGCCAATCCATAATGCAGCTGCTACTCACTCTTGCACACACATGAATTGGGCGACACAGGACCGTGGTTTTTACTCACTTTCTGGTATTACTTCTAATAGAGACTGCCGATATTGCAGTTGTACCTTCTAACTTTTTTAGGAAAAAGAACTTTCACTGTGTCCATGGATTATCTGGAAGTATGGGCAGTCGCCCCATCCTGTTGAAACCATGTGTTTCTGTTAAATCGACGTTCTGTTTTTACAATAGCAGCAAAAAAAGTGTCAGTCATGTCATTGTATTGACTGTCAATCCATGACCGTTTTCATCTTCAATAATACCGCTAGAGGATATGACTTACCAAACAGTCACCTTTAGACTATGTAGCTGTTGTTGATGTTTCTCTTTTGGGTTCGTTGGTGCCCAATATCTGCAATTTTGCTTGTTCACATAACCGTCTAAGTGAAAATGGGCCTCGTCGCTGAAAAAAACGTTCTCGAGTTCCGTTGAGCACAAGATTTCCGTAATACGTAATCCTTTCCTTTAAAGCATGGACTCATTGGATTTTATAAGGGTGAAAACGCATTTTTTTCTTCATTATGCCATGCAGTGTTGGCCTAGAGATTCCCAAAGCAGCGGAATGCTTCCGTACAGAACACCAAGGATTTGCAATGACCAAATCACTTACTCGACGCAGTAGGTGTGGGGCCTGGAATGGGTTGACCAAGAGTAGAGCCTGTTTCACGGAACCTCTTAATCCACTTTTTCAATAGGTTCTTACTTGGGGCATCTCTTTGTCGGCGAATGTTGTATCGTGTACAAAATTTCTGAAGGGCAGCTGCATATGAATCACCACTAGTAAGTAAAGTAAAGTAACTAAAGTAAGCCTTGATAGCAAAAGCACGTTGCGCTCCGGTCCAACGTTCCATTGTGACTATTTAACCCGCACGCCGTACGCGTCGATTAAGACCTCTCCCCACTTCCTCGCGTATACGGTTGCCGCATATTTGAAATGTGAACTTTCCCACTGGTATTTCAAGCATATGTGATATGGTAGGATTAGAAGTAATTCCCAGTTTTACTGTGACGCTCCAAAAACCGTGAAAAAACCTGTCACTTATTTAATAATGCCTGTAGTTACGACTGCAGATTTAGGCGGAATAATAATCATCTAGGAGCAATATGTCACATATCAAATGTACTTATGTTTTTTATTTGTCTAAATCAATAATTTAAATTACAAGGTACATAATTTCACAGATTCAAGTGACTAAAATTACTTTTATATACCATGCAAAGGAGTACGGAATGTTAGTTGTGAGAGAAATGCTGAGCAGTATACTAAAAGTATAAAATTTCACTATGTACCCATACAATACTCAATAGACGCCCACAAAAACGAAATGGCAGGTGTTCTTCAAATTGTAGGATAATATTTTAATTCTCCAAGTTTTATATTAATTTTTGGAACATTTCTATCAAATTGTTTATTGTGGCCAGACGCAAGAACCACCTCAAGAGATACGTACTTAAAAGGTTTTTGTAATACCCAGTGACCCAACAATGCGTATTCTGTAAACTTTACTATGAATCGATGACGATGATCTTTTATAGGAAGACCTGGTCGACAAAAAGATGCAGAAAATGGAATAAATGCGACAGTAACCTAGTCCATAGATCCCACTATGACTAAAATCAGTTATCAACTATCACTACTAATTGCAGACTTATGTATGTCCACTGTTCAACATTTCTCTTAATCTTTGGAGAAACGGGAAAACAGCGAAGGTAGTAACTTAACAAATACAAAGAACAAGCTTATATATTTAAAAATCGTCTATTGACTAGGAAGGTACTTTTCTATGAATTGCTTCACATCCACGAGTTCTTGGTCGGATGAAGTGTGACCTACTCCTCGGTAGGTCTTGAAGTCAACATTTGTCAACATGGTTTTTAACACAGACGCTGTCATTTGCCCCCATTTGTAAGGAACAATAGGATCACAATCTCCATGGCACTGAAATACCTAAGAAAATAAATATATTACAGATAAAATTACAAATTATATAAATGCCATTCTAGAGTGACAAAGTAGCAAATGATTAATATCATGATATGATATAATCTTCTCTACTTTCTCGCGCGGCCAAGAAGCACTTTGCGCTCTTAATACACTATGACAACTTGTAGGGAAATTTTTTTCCACAAGCCTCAATAATTACAAATAAAAATACGACCATTAATGTGATAATAAGCAAGTACCACAGATCCAAATATGATCTTTTCGTTATTAAATATATGTAGAGGGCGTTTCCCCGGAAAAAGCCTTTAAATATTCAGATACTGAATTCAAGGATTTAATAACAGGTTCATTTCTCATCAATACACATTTACAAGTATGATGAGTAACAAAAATACTGCATTACTGATATTCCACGACGTACATTGGAATAGTTCATTGTCAGGGACGTAAGTATTAACGGATATGCGTAAATATGATAGCGATCTCCAGACTTATCCATTCAGATTGGAATGGAATAAATCAGCATTGCTAATTATTAACTTACTGGTACATCATCAGGAGACGTTTTTGAAGCAGGAAAACTCTTGTTGAGTGGTAACCAGCATGAAAGTGCTACTACACCAGCCAATTTTTGTGGATAAGTGAGCATCGAATACAAAGCCAGTGCACCACCTTGTGAAAACCCTCCTACCATTATTCTTTCAGCTGCAATACCAGCAGATATCTCTGATTCTATCAGAGTATGAACCTGTTTAGCTGCTGCCTTAATTCCTGAAAAAATATTGAGATAGATACAGCCACAATCCTCCATATGTTGGAAACACCGTTTACTGATGACGTTTCGGCCGTATTACCAACATAATAGTTATGTATAATAATAGTAATAATAAACGTTTTTAATTAGAGGCGAAGTTAAGCTTGAAGCTATTCTGCCACCAACCCTTGATATTACAAAAAAATGCGATAGCGATTATAAATATATAAAAGTAATATTCCCAAGTATACTAACAGTTAATAATGAAAATTTAATCATACATATGAATGTACACAGAAAATGAAACATTTTGCCGAAGTGAGTGGTCAAACTATGCAGGTCAGTACTTTTCTAAAATAAATTGTTTAATTTGTTTTTTAAATTTATTGGAATTTAGTGATTTCAATGCCTGAGGCAATTTATGATAAAATGTTATTACATTGCATGTGAAGCACTTATAAAATAATGAGGTATTGTGCGTGTCTCGGTAAACCGTATCGAAGTAAGCAAAAGCTCATGACTGTAAGTTAATAGGTTTAGCTCCAATATCTCTCTCACCTTCAAACATTTCAAGTCACTTGAAGAACTGCTTATATAGTCATATTTTCTTAAATTATTGATTAGTCTGCAACATGAATTTTGAAATGTCTGTAAACGTGACAGAGATATTGTATCTAAAACGGTAAACTATATCACAGTAAGCAATTTTGGACATAATTACGGATTCGCAAAAGGTTTTTTTAGTTTGGTAATCGACATTTTGTTTATTCAGATATAAATGACGTAAGATGGAAAAGCAGCTTTTATTTAAATTTGTTTACATAAGGTCTGAACTTGAGACGCTCATCAAAAACAATTCCCAAGTTATGGACTGCTTCATTAACTTCGATAGAACCACCATCTTAACTAACTTGTTGCTTTAAGCATGATTCCTAAAAGGTTTAGGTGAAAAAATACGCACTTTTGATTTTGAAGGATCTAGTTTGAGGTTATGACTTTTTGCATAATATGCATTAATTGATGTTATATCTTCATTAATTTCATATTCAGCAATTACAGTATTAATACTAAGGAAGTGATTATAAATTTGGGAGTCATCAGCAAAAAATAGAACATGTGCACATCAGGGGCAAATAAATAATAATGATCTGAGTACAGAACCTTGGGATACTGTAGATGGAATGGTACATTTAGGCAACACATCGATATCAATAGTAATTCTTTGATAGCGATTAGCTAAAAAACATATTAATAGAGGAATATGACAAACTGTAAAATTTACATTTAGCAAGTATATCATGATAATTGTCCAATGCATTACTAAAATGCAGAAGTGCTACTGTTATCATTGGCTAATCCCACGTTCTAACAATATTGCTTGTCAGCTCCAACAAAATGCACCTGCAGTATTGTAGCCCTTGCAGAAACCACATTGTATTGATTTTAATATTTGAGATTCCGATATTCATTTATTTGAGCGTTCATTGCCCTCTCCAATAATTTATATAGCTCAGGTAGCATACTAATAGGTCTTAAATCTGAATATTTTTCCCGTCAAATCCAAAGATATTTTCCGGACTAGACATTTACAACCATACATCTCACTGTTAATACTTTTCAGCCTACTAGTCTCCAAGGATGACTACCAATTCGTAGTCAACTTACTTGGCCCTGGTGGTATTCTGAAGTTATCACTATAATTACTGGTTGACTTTAATTTAGGTTTTTATAAAGAAATGAAATGACAGCCAACAAAATAGCTCAGCTAGTGCGAACAACAGGTGTAGTCACAAGCACCCGATTACTCTAAAGTCAATCTTGGAATATAGTCATTACCCTCCAGCCATATTTCTGGCTATGACCATGGATGGATGATTCAATAATAAATAGCAAAAGTTGGCGGCAAAGGATTTATTGAACTTGATATATTGAATCTAAGATTTGTAAAAACACTGGCATTGACTTACCTGGTTCATCTTCTGGACCACTCTCATCCAATGTCTTCAAATCAAACCATGAGGGCATTCGAAAACCAGCATTTAATGTGACTGGCATTGTGGGTGCAGTAGGGCATATTACTTTCACATGAGGGGGCCTCAGAGCTGCCATTGCACTTGCCCATCCTTGCCTAAAGAGTTCAATCTGATTATGATCCTCACAGAGTTTGGAAACCAAGAAACTTCTAACGTATGCTGATATGCATACACACCAACTTATTTTTAGCACAAGATGCGATAGGGTTCCATTCTAAAGATAACTAACACTTACCCGGTGTCTCCAAGTCCATGCAAAAATATTAGCTGCAAAATAGTCAACTTATAAATCTAATTAAAGAAAAATCCATGAAAATAAATTACCGTCGCTGTGTGCTTTGATGTAGTTGTAAGAATAACAGGGGCTGCCATGCTCGACGCTCAATCAACGTGTTAATACTAGAAAACTTCTAGAAATCCGTATTGTACTGCAACTTATAACACAATAAGAATAATTCTGAAACCGATTTTTGACACGCCGATTCGATACCGACAGTGTCCTTGACCGATGCGATGACAACTCTTACGAGAAAGCTTGACAGGTTACGTCATCGGAATCATCTTAAGCATATCCATACAAAACGCTTCGTCCATATCACGTGCTCATTATGGTTATCGGTGATTGGTTCTCTGATATTTTTAACAGTTGCTCGGGCTCCGCAATGTACGGTATATGCTGTTCTGTTAGTCATCCGACAGAAAAGATTTATCATGATTAAAGGGCTTGTAGCAACAAGGGATTCCAGCCACATATTGGCTTTATTTGCAGGAATCTACAGTTATAAGTTTTATACAATCCTGACATCACTGCTTAACACACACAATAGTTTTCCTACGTAATAAAAGCATAAACCACATCTATGACGGTAGTAAAGTCATTACGAGTATAGACACAAATGTATTCATTCGCCTCAGTTACACGCTAAGACTCGCTATCAGAACTGCTATCAATGTGACGATAGTGACTATCCTTCACACAATCATCTGAACTGAATCCAGCACCATCTTTGTTCTCTGTATCATTGTTTTCTCCAGCGACCAATTTTCGTTTGGCGCCCTTGTAATTGGTGCATATATTTGTGAGATATCGTGGCTGTTCAAAAACTGCTTTATAAATTATAGCGTCATCTTTCAGCGAATTATCAAAAAATCAACTTAGGACATAGATACCTATACGACGCGTGCTTTTAGATGAAAATGTATTGTTTTATTCAAATGTGGCTTGAGTATTGCACTAAGATCTTAAATTAACCTCTTGAACGAAGAACCACTTGTGCTAATGCAAACACTACGTTGTCTAATTGCTTACACACGCTAGACAATTGAAGTAGAAACCAGAAAATATCTGCTTCGAAGTGAAGTGCTAAAGCGATAGACTGCCTCCTTACACCTACCTAATTCAAAGTTAACCTATCAGATCTGTACATACGTGATCTATATTTTTACCTCCCACTCCTACTGACGGGGAAGTATTGTGGTCTCGAGAATGAGTTATTATGTTTTTTGGATGTTATCACGAGAAAACATGTCACTTTCTGTCGGTGTGTCCGCTAATCTAAAGAAAAAGGCCAAAAACAAAAAATCGTTCAATCTTCGTTTTGTCATGTTTCGGACCATCCTAGCCATTTTCGGAAAAAAGTTGAGTGTTAGGGGCTGCAGGGGATGGGGGAGGATATATCACAATTTTTTAACGTTTGTATATTTATACGCCTCCATCCCCAGTAATTCTAAGCACATATCCTACAGTCGGGTTCCGATAAGTGCGACGTGGTCCCCGGGATGGACAAGCGTCGTCCTCGATGGTCGACGTCACCGTCGACAATCGCTTCCGTACTGCTGTGGTGCTGTGGGCTGAGCTGTGTGCACTACATGGTGAAGGCCAATATCGCCATTCAAGCCGGATTGGTCATCGCAACGATCATGTGCGCCTGCTGCAATTTGATTTCTTATTATACATGTTCGCAGCCTTTTTCTCAGAAGGGCTAACTTGTGCCGAACTTAATCTTTTACGAACTGATGCCAGCGTAGCATGGGAAGTACAGTGTTAACTTACTTGACGCCATTTTTTATTTGGCAAATAAGGAAATAGCTAAGCTTACTAGACAGTACATATAAGAATTCATACTAATCAGAAAGAGCAAGCCTACGATTTGTTTGTCCCTAAAATCTCAGTCTGTAGTCAAGATGAAAGTGCATACTACAAGTGGACTTGACATATGTTAATTTTTTGACAGTTTTATTGTTGGTGTTATTTTTTTAAAGTGCGAGTGTTGGCAGATAATTGTGCTGTAAGACGATTTTAGGACATTATAATTCTTGCAAAGAGCGGCACAAGCTTAATGAAGGTAGATCTTTCCACTGGTGGACTTAGCTCCAAATCTGTTCGAATTATATTAGGAATTTCATGTATTAAAAAACCTGAGTAGCATTGTCACCCATACCAAATAATACATAGGACAATAGGAGGATCATTCCAAGGCAAAAGCAGTTTGTGGAGAGGTAGTTGATGAATGCCTGGTGCTGTCTGAAATGACACCTACCGTTGACCATTCTTTTTAGATATATAGCTGATCCAGTTGACAATTTATTCGGGAATTTTTAGGTTTCCTCCCTCCGCCTGAGAAAGTTTGCTACCCGGTCTTCAAAACGTTTGGCAGATTTTCACAAAAAAAATAGCTCTTGCCGATGATAGGCCCTACCTGAGAAGCCCATATGTTTGTCCGGCCAACGAAATCACATGTATTTAAAATTCTTCTTTGATGTAGTAAGCGTTTCAGTAACAAAGGTGACCTCCATTAGTACAATGACATATATATCAATCAAATATATTGTCGTTGTATTGAAGAAGGCCACCTTTGTGATTGAAATATTTAAAGAAGAATTTTAAATACATGTGGTTTCATTGACCAGACAAATACGTTACATGTTCAAACAACTCTATTGGCGTGAAGGACATAATATGATATGATGTAAACTGTAACTTGGCAAGCATATACTTGTTGAAATTTTTTGTACATGTATTCGGCGGCACAAACAGTTTCGAATAGTAGCATTTTAAAGCATGGTGGATGACAAGAACATACTCGCTTTGACTCTGCTTTTAATATGCTTAACAAAGGAAGAAAGACGCGGCGAACTACAAATTCGAAATACAAAAATAGATTTGCGAAACTGTGGCGAAACCACATACAGGTACATCGGCACTTGCGCAAACTTGTGGAAGTGACAGGATGGAAATTCATATATTTTAAGGACATTTTTCCATACATCCATGTATGCAACTGAGAACGGTTACTTGACATGCTTCGGTTGCATGGAATACTGTATGAAAATGTCGAGAATAAGGAAAACTAGTGCAGTTCTAAAGTATTTCGGAATTTAAAAATTAGTCCAAGGTTCAATTATCAAACTGACACAATGAAGTTTGACTAAATGAATCATGTTCTAAAGCTCCATAATGAATTAGTTAATAAAGAAGCACTGCTTTCATTCACTTTCTCAAGATAGTTCAATAATTTTGGCAAAAACTACCGATATTGCCCGTTAGTATTTTCAGGTATTGGTGTTTTATATTACGAAGCCCAATAAACGATAAACAACCGTGAAATAAACAATAGATTTTTTTGTTTTCTATATTTACCTGAGGAGACAAATTCTACTTTTTTAATAAGGCATTGTGGTCGATAACGGTGATTTCTCAGGTTTGATAACCTGTTCTGTAAATGTCAATTTTCATGCGCCAATGCTTTGCCGTAAGCCAGGCTCCTAACAGAAGGTCCGATTTCTATGAAAAGGTCGGAGTCGCTTGAAAAACCCAAACTTCAAGAATTTTTCCATCATATTTCGTCCTCACTCGTATTGTTCTAATGAACTTACGGATACATTACCATGAGACATATGGCCCGCATACCGGAGCCTTATCCGCAGCAACCACATAAAATTCATAAATCATAAATGTAATTAAAGTGTTATTGAATTTTCATTGATAAGGTTGAAATATAATTAAAATAAATAAGTCCCAGACCTTATTAAAATTTTGTAGAATTCTTGCAAAAAAATGGAAAGTAACTGAAAGGTATTACGTATGTTTGGTTGCCTATACACATAGATTATTTGCTGTTTTCGGATCAGCTGTAAGCTCTCAAAATCAATAATTTTTTGACAGTAAAAGTAAACCGAAAAGGAGTAGTAAATAAATAAACTCGTGCGAATTTGCATTATGTGATGTTGATGTGTGAAACAAACTGTCATTCAGGAGTTATTTTTGGTTGATCACACGTCAGCATCGCATTACATAATGCCTTTTTGCACAGTCAAAATCTTGAAATTGATCCCAACGGTAGGAAATTTTGCTTGTTTCTAAAATCAATAACAGTGCTGTGGTGAAGCCATAAAACTAATTTCATTCAAATTTCCAAGTGAAGAAGAATTTCAGCGATAACATTTGACTCCAAAGCACTTTGGTACACTTTATCGTGAGGTCATTTGGTCGTGGACTAGTGTATTTGTGTATGCACAGGCCCGATTTAGTATCAATACGTAACCGTAACTGTCGACATCGCGTTGCATCGTGCATCTCCACTTCGCGAAAGTAATTTCTGAATGTTCAGAAAGCCGGGGATTCCGGTAGTACGTGATTTCCAATAACCTGTCGAGTACCACCACCGCGTTCAGCCAATAAAATGTCCACATCAAGATTATTATCGCGTCTCCGCATTTACAGCCATGGGAAAGAGCTGCGCCAATTTAGTACGTCATTTAGAAGGCAGGCCGCGGCGATGGCATCCACAGAGCACTCTTTGACGCTAGATAATCTCAATCCTAATGTCAAGGTTCTGGAATATGCTGTCCGAGGACCTCTGGTAATTCGGGCTGGAGAAATCGAAAAGGAATTAGAAAAGGTAAAGTAAAAATACTGGATTAACGCCCTGCTTATGCACTGCTTCTAGAACACGCCTTCATTTACACCGGCTTGTTAGATGTAGCATTTATACTTTCTGCATCAAAAATGTTACTGCACTTGGGTTGCTTTTGGCTATTTTTGTTAGGTTGATGATCTTTGTTTACAAAATAGTTGATTGGATAATGACAGACTTATCATTTAGTTCAAATTGCATCCACCTTTTTTATTGGGTGCAGGTCAGGATTCCAGATCCATTTATTGCACTCTGAATGGAATAGCTTTTATTTGGTTATAAAAAGATGTGCTTTATTCAAATAAAAGCATATTTACTGCAAATTCATAATCCATTAACTTTTCATTCTATAACTTTTAAAAGATACATTTCAAATCTATAAACAGCATTTTGCTTATGTTATCCTAGCATCTTGTCCATGGGCGCCCACAGGATTGTGCCATGCCCCCCTCAGAATCTGGCTGTACCTTAAAAGGGTAACTGGGTTTTTGGCCCTGAAAATACCTAACTCAAATTTCAAGTAGCTTGCATCTATGAAATTTTTGCATTTAAATATCTTAGAACTTACGTATTTTGAACTTTTATGAACATTTTTCTTTTTTGTTATAATTCTTGATTCTTTTTTAAAAGCCCAAAGTTTGCAGTTCTGGCTTTTTTGTCCAAAATTTGCACCTTTTTCCAATATTTTTATATTAGTGCATGGTGGATTCATGTGACATTTCCTACTTCAGATCTATAATAAAACACACTCAAATACAAAACATAGAAATAACAGTGTTGTTCTACTGTGCTCACATTAAAAACACAATTTGAAACAAATCTGTACATAATTACAATGAGAATCCAGCTTTTGTTTTTAATGTGGCCACAGTGGAGCAACACTTTTATTTTTATACACTATAAGTTTTATGTCTTACTGTGTTTTGTTATAGATTTGAGGTAGAAAGTTTTGCGATCATGTGCTCATATAAAAATACTTAAGTTAAATATTTCTGACAAAAATGCTGAATTTGAATTGGGCTTTTAAAAAACAATCATACTAACATAAAAAGGAAAATATCTATGAAAGTTTAAATTACATATGTTCTAAAATATTCAAAACCAAAAATTTCATGGATGTAATTTGAGTTATTTACAGTGAAAAAAACCCTGCTTGTAAGCCGTGACCCTTTGCATATTAAGCATGTTTTTGCACAAAATTTTGAGTTTCTAAAGATTGTGCCACCTCCTAAGAAAATTTGGTTCATTTGACAGAAAGTTATCTCTTTTCGATGATCGCCCCCCTCTCCTCGTCTCATAAAAACTCCTGGAGACGCCCATGATCTTGTCAGAGCTCATTGCAAAATTTCGTATCTTATTTGAGCAGGTTTGACTAAACAATGCTTATACAACCAATGCTGTACAATGTTGAATCCTTGAACTTCACGCATTTCATGGCAACATGGCAACAGAAACATTCCCTGGAACATGATTGTGAACAAAACACCATTGGGCCGTTTGGTCAGTTAGTGATGTCACAGGCGATGTTTTGATTGGTTGAACATCACAAGGATTCAAGGATTCCCAAGCTAAAAAATATCAGTGATCTGGATACTCAAAAATTTCAAACTCAAGAATGTCAAACTTGCTGGGATATTTTAACTTATTCGTACGTCCCTCGCATCTTTTTGTAAGGCAACCTCATCTCTTGATCCATTATACGGGCATATTGGGTTTTTAAAATGGCTGATCAGAATGTATGTAACTAAATAATCCAAATACAGACCTGCAACTTTTTTGTTGGTTGTAGGTAACTGCATTTATTATTTATTACATAATATGATAGTAGCTTCACGGTCGATTACATTGAATTGTGGTACGTGGATATTTGCCGAGAGACGATAAAATCAGGAATCACTTGGTTTTAATTTGAATAACGATCTTAGTATTTGTTCTATATCGATAAAGATGTTTAAAAAAGTTTTTTAATTAATAAAAACGTTTTCCAAACATCAAATTCGCTGAGGTGATTTTTGAGACCAACACAATGATAAAACCACCAACAGGCAGGTTGACCGTTGACGGAAATAATATAATTTATATCTCACATTCGCACTTAAGCTTTAATTAATTAAAAATGCATTTTTAATCGGACACGGTTGTAGCTATAGGAACTTCCACACAATAAAAACTTGATATGATACTGAGCTGAACGAAAGGCAGTACGCCCAAAAAATTATACAGGTTCAGTCACAGAAACAATCATCATCTTATTGGTAAATCTAGGTTTTTCTTGGATAACTACATCCCGGTAATGGTAATGGTAATTCGACATAATTCATTTGTAGGCAATAAAAACCTTGTAATGAACCGAATCATGATGCTTTCATCCGTCCGACCAAAAAGACAGCTATCCATGGACAGCTGTTTCGTGCTTCTTGGACACCCATCAGCATGGTCTAAGCTTGGTTTTTTGTCTCTTTACTAAGCATCACAACTATTATCTATCTCTGTACGGGAGGTAAAGTCTATCGAAATAAGATACGCCCTATATCTCACCGCTCTTGTAATAAATGTACGGCCGATAACAAAAATAATAACGTGATGTTTTCTGCTATGGTAGGGGAAAATTAAAAAAACAAATGACAATCACGCAGTACAGTTCAAAATTCAACGTACTGAATTGTCGGTTGATACTAAATCGTTTTGGCAAGATAAATCTGCTTTAATAAAATCCTGTGCCCATTGTTGGCTATGGGTTAACTAATAGATGTATCTTAATATGCACTTAATTCAAAAATCATGTGACTGGATCATTGAATGAATTTTGATGAGAATTTTGTAGATTTGACCCCTGAACCTCGACTAGCAAGGCAAAATTTTGATCACATGTTTCAGCCACTAAAACAGCAGGGGAGAGCATAACAACTTTCTAGCGAGTGTAAAGTCTCCAAATTTCAGCTACGCTTTGTTGCACCGTTACAAAAAATAGCAAGTAGCACAGATTTGCATTGAGGTCGTAAATCTACAATTAAGTTGGAATCTATTTGATAGAAAGGTGTAAAGAGTTCGAATTGAAAAATACTGAACTACTATACTAACCAATGAAGGTTATTTGCATAGAAATTTTATCAAATGTCAAGGCTACTACCAGATAAACTGGTAAAAAAATATATCCAATTTTTCCTATTGTCATTTAATATAAATTTTGGCATAAGGTCAGGAGAGCAATTAACCTAATATTATCAATACTGGTTCTGAGGGGATTCTGTCTTCTGTCTGAATTTTATTTATCGCGTTTCAGTATAATGGTCGGTACACACGGCAACGATAAAACTGCACAAACGAACTGTACAGTTCATTTGCGCAGTTTCATCGAACGTATGGACGAAAATCGACGCAGATATCGTCGATGTGTGGACGTACTATGAACGTTCGATAAACTGCGCAAATGAACTGTGCAGTTCGTTTGTGCAGTTTTATCGTTGCCGTGTGTACCGACCATAACGTTGCCTGCTTGTAAGCCGGAAGTAGATGGGGAGCAGACTTTAACAAGGACTTATTCATAATGTTACAGTGTATTCTAAGTCCTCCAGTCGTATGTTGGTCAAGTTCAGTTCACGGTTTAAACACTTCACTTCTTTTTGCAAAAGTATACTTTTCGCATCAGGTGAATAATTATTGGAAGATGAAATTATAATCAACTTCAAGCCAATAACCAAATGAAAGTGGTATTTACCATTTTGGATTGGTATTTACCGATTCGTTCAAGCGAGTATGGTTACCAGTTTGGTTATAAGATCCGTGACGTCATGAATCGGCTGTTATACGAGGGATGTCTTTTAAGATTTGCATATAGAAACATAGTAGGCCGCGCGGATCGAACGTCAGTACTGAATCTTAACTTCACTCTTTAGTAAACTTAAATTCAAAGTTTCACAACAATTCGTGCAGTGTTCTCACCACATTGAATTTTTAAGTGTCACCAAGTCATTAGAAAAATGGAACTCAACCGAGAACATTGTCGCGTCATAATTTATTACAACTTTCAGAGACAATTATCTCAACAAGAATGCCTTGCTGAGTTACTGTCTGTTTTCGGCAACGAAGCGCTACATCAGTCGACAATTTCCCATTGGTATAGAGAATTCAAACGTGGACGGGTGAGTCTTAGCGACGATCCCAGGGTGGGTGCACCAAAAACGGAGTCACCCAGGAAAACGTCGATGCTGTGCGCAAACTCATCATTGAAGATGTGACATGTGACATATCGCGAGATTGAGGCGTCCTTGAAGATCTCAAAGACCACAATTCAAAAAATTTTACATGAAGAATTAGGAGTAAGAAAATTAGTTTCTGGTTCGATACCCCAGCTCAGGCAGCAGCGGTGGCCACAGTAGTAGACTCTTCAGTCTCCTGATCAGTCGCTGTGCGCTGAGCGGGTTCGAATCCCGTACCAGGAGAAATTTTTCTCTTGGCTATGGATGTTGTGATTGTCCGTAGGTGGTAGACGGTCTCTGACTGTCTAACGCGGAGGTTCCACCCGGCGGATCTTGTAGGCGTAGCCAGAATGTGTGCATGTTGTATGCACACGTGTTCTCTCGCCAGAGTCCGTGTGCCGTTCCCCCTTTCCCCTGTATCCCCCATAGCCCCACGGTACCCAATGGGTGTTTAGGCCTTAGGCCTTCGTGGTAGTTGGAGCATAAAAAAAACCACCTGTTGACTGAAGAGCAGAAAGCAGCCAGGGTTAATTGGTGTCAAAAAACGCTTGACCGTTTCAATTCCGGAAACTCAAAAATGTGTACAGCATTGTTAGTGGTGATGAATCGTGGATTTACTGTTATGAACCAGAAAATGAACGACAGTCGGCTGTTTGGGTGTTCCAAGGCGAAGTAAAGTCAACAAAAGTCATCCATTCTCGAAGTGTTTCGAAAAAGATGGTCGCGACATTTGTGTCTAAAGCGGGTCATATTGCAACAATTCCTCTTAATGAGCAAAGAACTGTTACTGCGGATTGGTATACCACCATTTGTTTGCCAAAAGTCATCACCGAGCTTCGAAAAATCAACCCCGAAAGAAGAATCATCCTCCACCAAGACAATGCAAGCTCGCACACAGCCTAAACAACAAGGCACTATTTAACGGAAGAAAACGTGGAATTATTGGACCATCCTCCATATAGTCCCGATCTAGGTCCTAACGATTTTCCCGAAAATTAAAAACAGACTGCGCGGTCAAAGGTTCCATCTGGATCTGCCAACAAACGAGTGGAATAAGTGCTTCAAAATTTGGTTCGAGCGCATGCAGATGTGTATTAATCTTCGTGGAGAATACTTTTAAAAACAATAAAGTCATTTAAAACTACCTACCGTGTTGTTTTATTTCCATATGCAAAACTTAAAAGACATCCCTCGTATGTCATAGTTATCACCGCAAACTTGTGGTATTTACCCAACTCAGGAGTAGTTTTATATTTCTGGTTATTTGAAATGTGACAAGTTAGAATTTTGCCGAGTATTGGATATTTTTGTTGTACTTCAGCTTCAGTTTTGGGAAACTTGATACAGGCTGACTTCAGTTGTAGCATGAAGTAGAGCACCCTATTAGTTATACTCATTACTGTTGTTGGGGACACTTTAAATCCAGTTCCTATGCTTAACAAAGTATCCTGTGTAGCCATATACCACAAGAATATTGAAATATGGCCATATAAACTCAGCCATGGTTCTATCATTAAAAATTATTTTCTGAAAAAAAAAACATTTCTCTCATTAATATTATGAAAGGTTTCTTTTTTAAACTTAAACTTAAACTAAAAGCACAGATTATTAAGTGATAATAAAAATAATCAGAAATTATCTACGCGCTTTTCTAAAATAAACAACCTGCAACAAAACCGCGGTTAAAACCAACGCATTCAAGCGATTCGAGTAACTGACTAAATTTTGATTATTCGCTTGGATTTGATTTATATTCATCCCATTATCTTTGACAGAAATACATGATGGATGCAATTTTAGGCAATTTAGGCCACATGCATTACATTTAATACACTTGGTACAAACAATAAAGTTATCATTCCAGACTTCGCAGACGTCCACATCGTATGTCATGATTATGACATGAACCTAATCTATGGAATCGTAAATACAAATGATATTTTGCTCCATGCAAAGATACAAGTTGCACTGCACATTCTAGACACATTTGTAACAATTAATGAATTTTCGCCTATACAGATAACTATTCAGTGCCCCGCTAGCCAGAATGTGGATCCCAAAGGCCTATTTTGAAGAAAAAATCGCAACATACTCAATATTCTTGTTTGAGCTGTTTCCAAGGGTCGCACTGTCGCACACAGCTTGTATGTATGAAGTCTTGTAATGCCAAGGACACGGAAGTTATATTAACTAGACTATATAAATTGGGAATAACCCAGGAATATCGGGCATACTTTAGTGGTGGTGTTTGACCACCTGCAAAAATACTAACAACATACGTAAACTTCCGTTGGATTGTCTCTTATATCAAACAGAAGCTTACGCAAAAATTCAGCCAGCTGCGGTTTTCCCGCGGAAAAAGCCTTATACTGACTGGACTGTAGTCGCTAAAGCTAAAAAATCAATTCTATGTAGTTTTATGCCCCATACCAGTCATACATAAGCGTACGCTTGGGCTGTCGGACACACCAAGGACGTAGATTTGGGTGGCCTACAATTATGTAGGCACATCCCTTATTCCGCTTTCCTATATTGTTTTTTTGCGTACAACAGGTGCAAACTGGTAGACCACCGTCATTATAGCATCTCCAGACAGCAGGAAATAAACCAAGGCCCGTCTGTATTCAATTGAATGTATTAAACAGAAAAATAATCAGAATCTTATAAACAAGAAAGGCAAAAGGATTTCAATGGTGGCTACAAAGGGAACAGCGACCAGAACAAGTTTAAGTAAAGAATTCCTTCAAGAGGCATGTGTGCAATACATAAATATACTTTTTTATAGAGGGCACTGCGCGACCCAAAGACTCTTGATCCATCCCTTATCGCATTGCGACCGTCCTATTTTGTCCTTGAATCTATTGAATTTCAACGACACCACCTACCGATTTCGTCTTGTTCGGTTCGGCAACACTGGTTAGGTGCCTATTTCTCCGGGTTGGATGACCTCCTATAAATAGCAGAATACAATTAAATGCAGAAACAAATTGTTGATCTTTAATTTCGAAAAAAAAGTTATGTTGAAAATTCAAACAACTGAATTCTTTTCACAAGGAAAATCCCCATATTCCTGAACTATTCAGGAACTCCAGCCGTCACTCCCTGAACCAACGAGACTGACTCATTGCAATTCTCTTTTTTCCCAGCAAAGAACTAGTTTACTGCGTTTTAACTGAACATGAATCATAATTTATTACGAACGTGCTTTTTAAATTTTCAGCTTCACAGATAATGTCAACAAAAGCGTATATTTTTTAATGAATGTGTATTGATCTACTTTGGGAATATTAAAAATTATATGGAAAGGTTGGGGAAAATTTCATTAATTTTGGAATTCATGACGAATCGTTCAGAACTATTCTCTAAACGGGTACCATTAGCTGGACCTGTTGATTAACTCATTCTGAAAATAGCCAACCATGGCGCACAATAAAAACCTTGGAGTCATCTATGAGAATTTGTAACAGCTGTTTTTCCTCTGCCCAATGATTAGAATCTACTTTGAAATTTTTTTTTTTGTTTTTTGGTGAGGGGGGAATGCGTTTACGCACCATACCATAGCCCGAGCTACGGCGTGTTTGGGACTCCAGGTTGTCTTGAGGAGACCACCTAATACCCACTAAACCCTAACCTCCGCGTGGCCCGACTCATCAGCGTCTCGGTATTTGTTCTGCGTGACCTGCGGTCTGCTACAACGTCTCCTCATGTGTTTCAGTCTCTGGGAACGCCGGGTTGGTTCCCTTTACCTCGCACATTCTATCGATGTCGTTAAGCGATCATCGATAGAGGGTTTGCTAGGTTCTCTTGAAACTCTTGTTTTCGAAAAATCAAGAGTTTCAAGTCCTCTTACCAATATGTTGTTCCTGGTCCTGGTCCTGAAGGGTCCTGGTCCTGGTGGGTCCTGGTCCTGAAGGGTCCTGGTCCTGGTGGGTCCTGGTCCTGGTGGGTCCTGGTCCCGGTGGGTCCTGGTCCCGGTGGGTCCTGGTCCCGGTGGTTCCTGGTCCTCTGCACCCACGCCGTGGGTTCTCCTAGTCTCCTAGTCAAGGTTCCAGTTAGCGGGTGCCAACTGAGACCTTGGTCTAGGGTACCTGGTTCTGCGGTTGCGAGGCCTCTCGTCCGGATCGTAGTCCATGAGGAATCTTAGCTGCTCGTTCGGGTGGTCCTGAGCTTTCTGGAAGGTCTTCTCCGCTTTTTTCCTCATGTACTCGTGAATGGTGTCCCAGTGCAGGTTCATACGCAAGGTTGAGTTTCTTACGTAGGATGGTGCACTGGTGGCGATGCGGAGTAGCTTCATCTCTAGAGCAGCAAGTCGCTTGCGGTAGCTGGGGGCAGCGTACCCCCAGACCGCGGAGGCGTAAGCGAGCTGAGGTCTGGCGATGGCCTTGATCAGCCGTAGCTTGGTCGCTAGCGGCATCCGACTGTGTCTACCCAGTAATGGGTAGAGTTGAGCCATGGCTGCTCTGGTCTTTGCGATGACAGCTTCTATGTGATCTTTTCAGGTGAGGGACTTGTCAAATACGATCCCCAGATATTTGACTTTGTCGCTCCACTGGATATCTTCGTCGAAGATGGATGCTTCGAGAGGTCTTGCAATCCTTCTTCGTTGGATGAAGATTGCCTGCGTCTTCTGGACGTTGATGCGGATTTTCCATTTCACGCACCAGTCCTGGATGTGGTCCAGTTCATCCTGTAGTCTCCTACGGATGATCTCGGGTCGTCGATGCTTGGCGGCTATAGCAGTGTCGTCTGCATATAGGGCCAGCATTGAGTCAGCTGTCTTCGGTACATCGTGAGTATAGATGTTGTAGAGCAGGGGGGCTAAGGCTGACCCCTGGGGCACGCCTGCTTCCAGCTGTCGTCTTGTTGAATGGCATGTACCAATCTTCACCGTGAACCATCTTTGTGTTAGATAGCTCTGGATCAGTTGGCACATGTTTGCATCGATTCCGGCGGCTTCCATTTTGGCGATGAGTCCATCGTGCCAAACTCGATCGAAGGCTCGTTCCACGTCCAGCAGGACGAGGCCGGTTGCCTCCTGGAGATTGAAGCCGCTGGTGATGTTTTCTGTCAGTCGTAGCGCTTGGAGTTCCGTGCTGTGGGAAGATCTGAAGCCGAATTGCTCTGGGGGGAGAAGTTGCAGTTCTTCTGCCTGCTTCTCTAGTCGAACGGCGATAGCCTTTTCGACTACTTTGCCCATCGAGGAAACCAGGCTGATGGGCCGGTAGTTCTGGGGCAACTTCCGGTCCTTACCTGGCTTGGTGAGCATTATAACCTGGGCTTCCCGCCACCGCCGCGGGAAGTGGTTAAGTCTCAGGGTGGCATTGGCGATGTTGGTGAGCGCAGCAATGCCTTTGGAGGGAAGGTTCTTCAGCATCCTGTTGTTGATGCCGTCCCTTCCCGGCGCCTTTCTGACCTTCAACCTGCGGATGATCAGACGGATTTCCTCTGGACTGGAGGGGTGATCCGTCTCCTGGCCAGGTGGTCGACTCCTCATGATTTCGGCTGCGACTTCCACGGCCTCCTCGTGGTTGTCGTCCTCGTCTTCATGGTAATTGAGTCTGCATTCGGATTCTAGCGAACCGGCGAATGCTTCGGCTTTTTCTTCACTGGAGTAGGCCAAGCCGCGTTGGCCGTGAAGAGTGGGGATCGTGGTGCGCTGACGACGAAATTTTCGCTGCATAGTCCAGGCCGTACCATCCTGGGTCTCTAGTTCTGCAAAGGCTGCATTCCATCTGCAGTTTTGGAGTTCCGCGAGTGCGTTCTTCAGAGCTAGCGATGCTCTGTTTCGCGCAACTCTCGACTCCTCTGTCAACAGCTGGAGATGTTCTCGCTTGAGTCTTCTGTTCTCCCTGATCAGGTGCCTAATATAGTGCGGTGCTGGTCCATTTAGGTGTCTAGGAACTGCCGTAGTCTCGGAGCGGGTACCGCAGGTCGCCCAAGGCCGAATGGAATGTAGGTTGATTGCTCCGGACCGACGATGACCCCCGCCACGGCATCGACGTGTTCCTGGAGCTGCCTTGCATTCCTGTCTTCGACACTTTGAAAAGCTTAGTGTTTCAGGCTAATATAGTTGGCTACAGCGCCATCTATGAGAAACTAACTTAGTGCGGAGACGTGAATCATAGCTCTGATAAATTTTCATAAACGACGCCAGGCTATCTCATTGCATTTCGGATAATTTTTTGGTCGCTGAAATATAGTATAAGGTTGGCTACCTTCAGTTAGAATATGTTAATCGATGTTGAAATACAGTGAAAATCTCCAAGACACGATTTTCTGCAGATTTTACTGGTAACGTTATAACATGTAAGTAAGCATTATAAGAAGTGTAAATTACATCTCCGAATCGATGATGCTCGTCCAGCTATGTGTATTTTGCCAATTACACTTCCTATGGTGATTGAGTCATGTATTATTTGTGTAACATACTGAATGTATCCGACAGGGCACCCAGAAGCCATTTGATGAAGTGATCAAAGCGAACATCGGCGATTGCCATGCCATGGGCCAGCAGCCAATCACCTTCATCCGGCAGGTTTTGGCATTGGTCACGTACCCGAAGCTCCTGAGCGACCCTCAGTTTCCAGAAGATGCCAAAGAGCGCGCTAAAACGATCCTGGCGGGATGCCGTGGGGGCTCTGTAGGGTCTTACACCGATTCTCCGGGTATTGAGGTTATCCGCAAACATGTGGCACAGTACATCGCGGAGAGGGACGGGATTCCGGCCGATTGGCAGAACGTTGTCATCGGTGCAGGTAAGGCCGGACAATATTGTTAACAAATATAAGAGATAAGTACACTTTTAAAAAATACAGAACTGAATGAAGCTTTAGTTGTGCTATCAAATTCCAAAATCCATCAGGCCTTTTAGGATGTAGCCCGTAAAATAGAAATTCCAAAGATAAAATTTGCGTTAAAAATCCGTTATTTTGATTCCACAAAATTTTAATTGTTAGTCGCATTTCAAGACAGAATCTAGAAAAACCTCACATGTCAAAATTCATCCAGTTATTCGAGCAGTAGGCCGCGCAATAGAAATGTCACAGTTGAAATTTTCGATTAAAATCCGTTATTTTGGTTTTATAAAGTTTTAGTATACCGAGTGACAATCGTACTGCTAAGATGAATACAACAACACCTTACATGTAAAAATCCATCAAGTCGTCTATGAAACAGAATGTTTGTCCACATACATCCATTCACACCCTCGCGCGAATAACATAACCCTCCTTCTAGTCAGGTGAAAAAAAAGAACATTTAAAAAATATGCTTTTATTTTGTATATAAATTTAACGTTTCAATCAATTTCTTATTAAAATGCAGTCGTATTGGATATCAAAAAATTACCAACACAGAAATTTCCAGTAGCGAGTAATGCGAAAATATATTAAGTTTAAAATTGTTAGTGTATAATGGCTAAATAACGTAAGGTGTAAGAGTAGCTTTGAGCTAAATCTTCCCTTTTGTAGTTTTAATAAAGACGATAATTATGTATGTTTCAATGAAACAGTTTGCTCTCGATTGAGAGAGGGCACGTATTCTAGCCATTGTAACTGTCTTTAAAAGTGCAAACTTGGTCTTTTCGAAAAATCTCCCGGTATCTATGAAACAACGCGGCTTTTCTATAATTATAAAAATTGCAGAGTAGCCAGTGATTAATGCCTTAAAATGCTACCCTTCGTATATAAAAGAGGAAAGCTTTCCATAATTTATTCATTACTTCACTGCTAATACATCAAATTCACAAAACATCGAATATCAGAATGGTGCGCCAAATTCAACAAACACGTTGCAACGTTAAAAAACTTCCATTACTTGGGTTGATGCTAAGATATCTAAAAATGAACACACGCAAATATCGACATAGTCCTATCACCAGGCAGTTCAAAATGCTGATTAATTTCAAAAACAAACACCAGTTGGTGTTATGTGTGGCTATTTTTCTCTACCGGTTTCAAGAATAGATTTATGTGATGTGATTTACTATAATTGAAACAGGAGCATGAATGAAGATTACCAGCGCTAAAAATTTAATATCGGCTGTTGTATACTGCATGATTCATTTTGAACACATTTATAGATAGAGTGTAATAATATTTAATTGCCTTGTTCCTTGTCAATACGTTTAACATCGAGAGTGTGAAAAATGCAATATCATGAATGTAATATGACACCTTCAATACACATATATTTCAACAATTGTTGATGTTTATTGTATGTCGTTTCGGCCACTTCGGTGACCTTTTTCAAGTATACCTTGGCATAATTCTTGACAGTAGGTTAGTAGTAAAGTAAGCCATCCGAGAGTGTAACTATACTTATAACTGGTACTGGCACTGGGAATTTTTGTGTGTTTTATAGCTGATGATTCCGTTTTTCAGAGATTACAAATTTTACAAAATAAATGTGTGAGAATAACACTAAATAAAAATAAACATGCGCCAATCAATAAAATGTTCAGTGCGTGCAAATGGATTAACATTAAACATTCCATTAAGTACCTTGTCGTGATTTTTATTTATAAAATAATGAAAAATAATTTATTACCATCTGCACTAACTTCTGCAAATGCCGACTATTATTTTTGTGATACGAGTATTGAGAATTGAGTAAATATTTTTTAAGATATCATTTTTTTTTAAATTTATATGAGGAATGTAAGAGTTACACCTTACTTCACGAGTATCCATCACGCTTTGACGTCTACTGACGTGAACAGCTGATCAGCAAGTGACATTTTTGTGTTAGTTTGCAACGTGGGCGATAATGAATCGAGTATAAATCTAGTAAAACTTGTGTGGCATTTTGTTTTTTGTATACAAAAGGACTTTTCTGAATGAAAAAGCTGTTAGCAAGTACAAAATGAATCTGTAGCGTACCAAAAACCAAATCAAAATATGGCTCTGCCTACCTGGCGTTGACGGATCCTTCAGAATTATGTGTCGGTATGGGGATTTTTTAGATATTACTAGATAATCGGCTGTCATTCTACCTTGATGGATACTCGTGAAATAGGGTATAAAGCCAGAACTATCCATTTGAGCTTTGAAATAATTAAGGTTAGGAAAAATTTTAATCTTCAATTGATATTTCTCTTTTGATACCAAACTAAACAGTGTAATACCCCGCGCTGGTCCCTAAAAGTTAATCAGCTGTAGATGCCAATTAATAGATTTTATAAATAACCTCTGTTTCATAAAGTTATAAATCACGGGTGATTTTTCAACTATCTGGAATTTCAAGAAATATAAACAAAGCTTAAACAAACCTATAACGTTTGACCTACGTAAAGCTGGTTTGACAGTTTATCACATTGAGTTACATTATCATCCTTATCACTGCAAATTATGTAAAAAATAATGTAATCACTTTACTGATACTAACATTTTTTTCCTTTGTCGAGGCTATGCGTAATCGTATTTTAGTTATCACACCTCAACGTTGAAAAATTATATTATCAATATAATTTGTTAGAATAGTGTAATCTGTTTGCTCAGAGTATACGCTTATCAGACCATCAGTTGTTTTTAGTTTTAATCGCCCTTGTATAAATAAAACTATTTGCTTTATTGGGTGAACATCCTAATAGACGATTCGATCAAAGTATCAACAAATTAAAATGTTAATTTGGTCCGTAAATATGTTCATTTTCCATGCTCACGTGCATAAGCGGAAAATGTCTTTAAATAAAATGTTAATTACGTTTTCTGATAGATGAACAACTTTCGTAAAGACATGCCAACTTGCTGTTTTGAGCATTTAAAATATTTTTTTAGTAAAATCGAGGTTTCAATAAGTACAAAATATGTTTTCAACGCTATAAAATTCTCCAATTAGCTTAAAACGTAGTCATAACTTTTTAAGAAAGTCTAAACTTCTAAGTTTTCATCGAAATAAGACAGCGCAAAGTGCCATCTATCACTAGAATCGACCGCTGCGAAAATGAAAACAGCAAGCTTTCTGTTGTCACTCGAGTCACTACTGTGGCCGCTAGATGCCGCCGATTCTGGTACTATAGCTTATGCGGTCTACTCGCTGTTTCTTAGCTTTTGTTCGTCCGCCGAGACCAATCCTACAACATGCTGAAGAGTTTCCAAATAGCACGAAACATCTATCCAACCGTGGATATCTGTTTCGCCTCTGGTCGGACAAACAAAAGCTATATATGTCTGTTCAAAGTTTTTACTCATTTTATTTAATAAAGGATCAATTCATTTATATTCCTTTGTGGTTTTAGGAGCCAGCGATGCTATCAAGAACGTTCTGAAACTTCTGATCTGTGACATCAATGGAAAGAGACCCGGTGTCATGATCCCCATTCCCCAATATCCCTTATATTCAGCTACATTAGCTGAATTCAATATCCAACAAGTCGGCTACTATCTAAACGAATCTACGAATTGGGGGCTAGATATATCCGAATTAAAGGTATGTAAATATATGACTATAGTGGATTATGAAGGACAATTTAAATGGTTACAGTATAGCCATATATAGATAACTCTCATAACTTCGATTTCTAAAAATGTTAGTATGGGAAAACATTTTACTTGAGTCAAACATTTTTTATATATCAACTTTGATATTTTCATCTACCTTTATTTTCGGCATATAGCATCATTTCTCTTACAAACCTTTTTAATCTTGGACTGATCAAACAAATCATGCTATGTCTTTTGAGGTGCAGAAACTGATATTAACGATAAAAATTGGATTTTGCTCAGAAACTCTTGCTTTTCAAGATATACAGTAAAACGTGAGAAAAAGAACTAGCAAAAATTTACATATTATAAGCAATTTCGCCCCTCGATATTGTAGTTATACACGATGTTATGAAATGCCTCTAATAGAATTCTCTGTTACTTTAGAAAACTGTATTATATAACTGTTGTTCTAAAGTCTAAAGGGACTGCCTTTTTGCAATATGTATAAATGTTTTAGAGAGCAATAGAAGAAGCAAGAAAAACATGTTACCCAAGAGCAATCGTCGTCATAAACCCAGGAAACCCAACGGGCCAAGTTTTATCGCGGGAAAATATCGAAGCTATCATCAAATTCGCTCATAAAGAGAAATTGTTCATTTTTGCCGATGAGGTATATCAGCATAACATCTATGCTCCTGGATCGAAATTCTTCTCTTTCAAAAAGGTGAGAAATTTTCCATTCTGTAGTTTATATATGTAGGTATTTATTCACTTAGTCAGTCTACTTGACTCCAAGAAAAAACCCCATAAATCTAGATGAAAGTCAAAGATTTGCATATTTTGAAATGGAGATTTCAAAATTTCAAATAAATTCAAGATTTAGTACCCACCCCTTCATAGAGGTATAGTTTCAAATTATGCATTAACGCCAAGCTACCTAGATAACTGGCAACCATTTCAAATAAGCGTCGATGAAATATGCAATGAAAAAATTTGAGTTTCGAGCAGACATTTCGCTTTAGTTACTGAAATAAATCGTATAATATTTCGCATAGGACCCTAAAAGTTAAATATAGCTATGTGAGGATAACTTCTGCTTTAACAACGCGGAGAGAGCATCCACAAAAAGTGTGATTTATGGTATTTCTCACGACACTTCATTACGTCAAACCTGACAGCAAATATCGACAAGTGACATACGGATCTGTCAACACCAGAGTCGTATTTTTTTATCTAGTTTGTACGCTACGGATTCATACCTTCTAACAACGCTTTTATTTAGAAAAGTTACGACTATACTTTAGTTATTACCTAGCTTGTTTAACTTTTAGGACCATACGCGGAACATTACAGGATTTAGTCTAGTAACAAAACAGAAATGTCTGCTTGTAAATCAAACTTTTTATACACCAAACTTGTCATTTGACCAATCATTGATGTATTTGGCATGGCTGCTAGTTATCTAGATAGCCTAGCCTTAATATACATAGATTAATAGTAGTATTTTTGCAGACACGCGAGAATAACTGGCAAATGCCAGAAACAAAAAATATACATTTTATGTGAATTTTAGAGACACAAAATTTGCTTTGATACCATATTATTTATTGATTTACACATCTTCAAAACAGCCTTTTGCTCCGAAAACTCTTCTTTTGTTTTAGTATTGTAACATCATCATTTCACGATTTTTAGCATTTTTTTTCTATTTTTTTTAGGTGCTAGTCGAAATGGGCGAACCCTACAGCAAAATGGAGCTAGCCAGTTTCATGTCGTGTTCCAAAGGGTATATGGGTGAATGTGGGCTTAGAGGAGGGTATGCTGAAGTCCTCAACATGGAACCTCAGGTCAAAGCAATGTACCTGAAAGCTATCAGTGCAATGCTGTGTCCTACGGTATGTTTGAAAGATTTATTGACTATAATTAACATTCCGTAGATATTGTGACATTTAATATTTTATTACTTCCCACGTCCACTGGCGGTATTGTAATCGCGAATAATTTCGAAAATGAGTTATTATATTTTTTGATGTTGTATGACATGACGAAAAACCATCCCACTCATTTCCGTCGGTCTGTCTGTTTCACCGCTAGTCCTTGGCCCATCTATAACTTGGAAAGTACTGCTCGGATGAAATTTCTACAGAAGGTCACTGCAATGCCAAGGACGAAAAAGCTTTACAGTTTTTGAACGTCGGTCCAGTAGCGGAGGAGAAAAATCGCTCTATCTTGGTTTTTGACGTTTAAGAAGATCCTGATCATTTTAGAATAAAAATTTTATTGGTGAAAAATTACGGGGAGGGGGAGAGTACATATATATTTCACGCATCATAGGTTTCCCCATATATTTGTCGTTAAAACTTGCGTTTCCTTCTGCTATCTGAGATCAGCGCCCCGCGTAACGATCTGCTTGATTGTTCTGCTCGTACTGCGGCGATGTTTCCTTGGTCGCTGTCGCGCAGTGATGCCACCGGCCAGTAAAGGAATTATGGTACGATGTTGCCAGAATTATCAATTTTTCTTCAAAATTATGTTACAAATAGTGTTCCTTTAAGACAAAAAATACACATAATTAATATAGGTTCTTTAATGTAAAAATCTCATAAAAAAATGGAACATTTGGGAAAATCAAACAAACTCTCGAAAAATACTACAAGATATACCTAACTCGAAAACATAAAAAACATTATTCAGGTTCAAAATGAATATCAACAGTTTCATTTTCATCTTGAGCGACATGTTTATAGGACGTTATTCTATTAATCATATTTTGAGTAACATTAAACTTATAACATTCACGATTTACACTTTGAGATGCCAATAAAAGTGAATTTACTGAATCACTGTACAAGCGATTTCGGACATCTGTTTTGATTAAATTTACTTTTGAAAACATTCTTTCGCATGCGGCATTTGAATGAGGAATTACTAATAAATCTAATACAAAATTTCCCAATTCTTTAAATACGTAAACATCAGACATGTCGTGAATTTGGGAGATTTTGTACCAGTATTTATCGATTGATGTTTCATCCTTTATTTTATCACTGAAATTTGGTTCTGACTGGCAATACATCCGCCACTGATCATCAATTTTTTGTATTTGTTCAATATCTTGAGGATCTACAATTCTGGGTAGTAACTTAATTAATGGAAAAAGCGATGCTGGTTTTGGTTTAGAATACCCTTTTTCAAATACTGATATTTTTGACAAAATATTTTCATTAAAATCAAACCGTTTTTTCATTTCATTTGCAGAAGTTATTAAAAATTGACGGCACCGCATGTAGAAATCTTCTTTTTCCTTTTGACTTTGACTTTGACTTTGACTTTGACTCAATGTTCTGAAGTACGCGAACACCAAGGTATATCTGTTTCAAGTCAATGAACTGACTAGCATTGTTGGGATCGATTTTATCTATTTCGGTTTTATGAATATAATTTGGTTGTAAATAGCTTAAACAAATTTCTTTATAAGTTTCACAAACTACATCATAAACGTGTGCAATTATGACACGCTCACTTTGAAAGTATTCATTTAATTTTACAAATTTTGGTAAAATCCAATGAAGAAAAAAGAAGAAAAGTTTTGTTTCCATATCATTAAGTCTATTGGCAACAACTTCTGAAGCTTGCAGTCTATGTTCGGTCCATTCTTTAACAAAATATAATTGAAGGGGATTCCATTGCTCAATTATCCTTTCCACTACCATAAGTAATGAAAGCCACCTAGTTTGTGAAGGACGTAAAATTTTGTGAGGCTCCACATTACAAAATGTCTGAAATTCTGTAAATTGTGCTTGCCGTTTGGAGCTATTTTTAAAGTAACCAAAAATATTCCTGGCTAAATCTTCACAATGACGGGGCAAAACTTTACAAGCCTCACTGGCACAAAGATGTAAAGAGTGGCAGATGCATTTTTGTACTATAATGCCAGGAAAATTTAGTTTTAACCTACTTACTACTGAGTTATTGGCACCAAACATAGTGTTACAACCATCAGAACCAAATCCTATAATATTTTGGAAAGGTATATTGTTAGACTCAAATAAATCCATAATTTTTTTATAAAGAACTTCTGCAGTCGCCCCTGTATTTGCTTCATCTGGATTTTGATTTGAAAAACATTGAACCAAATTTAAAAATTTTGTAGTTACCTCATTTGTTTTTTCACTAAAGTACCTAACACATACACATATATTTTTTACTACACCTATGTCTGTAGATTCATCTACTAAAATGCTAAACTTTTTTGCTTTTAGTTCATCGATTAGTTCTTCAAAATGAGATTTGGCTAAAACATGTTTTATAACACCTGTTGCTTTGGTTCTTCCCATCTGCATTCCTTGGGCAATTTTCGAGTCCGGAAATATGTCTTTTAATAAAGGAATCAGATGATCACACAGCTTGATGGGTAGATTATGCTCTGATATTAATGCAGCAATTTTTACTTCTGCCCTACTCACTTGACCACTAGCTTCGTTTTTATTAGAAAGCATAGTAGAAATTTTTGGTTGATTTTTCACAATCACCTTTACATTTTTTAAATGTTTAGCTCCCTTACTGTGATTTTTCAATACAGTTAAATCTGCTTGAATTTCACTATCACAAGCAATACATTTTGCTCGAGTGGGTTTTTCTAAAAACAAAAATGCATATCATTAAAAGTATAAAATGGTTTTATGTTATTTTTTCTACCTTTAACAGCTTTCAACCATCCTTTGAAATGAGGATTGCTTTCCCATTCACATCTATATTTTTGTGGTCTATTTTCTCGTCTGTTTACGTTTTTAAACTTTAGTCTTTTTGCCTCCCTTTCTGAATCCGAAGAATCGGAGTAATCATGATGATCCCCTTTGCTGGTACTGGCCATTTTATTTCACTGTTTGATCACATCAACACACATTAATAAGGACTCATTCGATCAACTACTCTTGCTCGTATTGAAAAAGAAACAATGAGGATTAGGGTATTCCCCTGCGTAGACTCAAATTCACCGAGACTCGAGTTCCGTAATATTTACATAGATGGCGGTAAGCTTGATTTTTATTCTAATTCCATAATAACCATGCTATTAACTGAAAGAGGTCAGCACTAATAATTATTATCCTTTTTGTTACGTTGCTTTGGTTGCATACAATTAGAACCAATAATTTTGAAAACATAGTTATAGGCTGGGAGATGGAAAAATAATATGTTACAATTATCAATTATGTTACATCTTTTTATTTACTGTATATTTCAGTAGAAAATATGGTACAATTTGATAATTATGTTACAAGTGGCAACACTGCTGTCGCGTCTGACGATATGGGAAGGGGCAACGTTGCCAGATGGACGGTAACTACCGGTAGGTCACGGAAAGAATGTTTATGGATTAATTGTATGGGCCTGTTTGACTTGATCGGTTTAAATTTCTTTCGTAGGGCTTAACTTCATCCTTAATGAGCTGATGACAGCGTTGTTTAGGAAGTGCAGAGTCAACCCACTTGACGCCATTTTTTTTACGTTTCAAATGAACCATTATTGAAAACATTTTCAGGAGTAAAAAATTGGGGGTAGGTGGTTGTAGGGGTGTGGCGCATGTTTTTATGTTAGTATATTTTTTATACTCTCCCTTGGTAAGTGTTTGGCCTTACTGCCGCGTCTAGTGCATTGTCCCGTTAGGCATTGGGGAGAGGCGACGTTGCCAGATATGCTACCGATAGGGCAGGGAAAGATGATCTATGCACTAATTGCGTGCAACTGTTTGACCGACTTGATCCATTTAAATTCTGTTATACATGTTGGAAACTAACTTTTTCTCAGAGGGTTTAACTTGTGCTCTACATAATCCTTTATGAACTGATGACGGCGTTGCGTGGGAAGTGCAGAGTTAACCTACTTGACTCCATTTTTTACAGGTGTTAGGACAAGCATGTCTGGACATCATAATGAATCCTCCTAGGAAAGGAGAACCTAGCTACGAGTTGTTCCAGAAAGAGAAAAATGGAGTTCTGGAGTCACTGAAGGTATTGAAAGCTTTTACACAACACAGTTTATTTGCTTCAGTATCAAGGGAAGTAATTGCCTTTGCTTACAATTTATAGAAATGTCTAATTTTTATCAGTCTTTCCAGCGATGAATTTCTGATACTCTGGATAGGTCATTTACAGTTAATCTCCTGGCAAACCAATATCATATTTATTTAAGTAACATCTTAAACTTATCCGGTGGTTTTCATGTCGATAATCCCTCATATCCCTCTGATCAAACAAAACCGTTGGAAAAATATTCTTCATTGTAAACGTTTCGGTCACAACAAAACGTTTACAATAAAGATCTTTTGGATTGGGCAAAAAAAATATATAAATTATCATATCCACTTGTTAGCTTGACTGTATGCCTATGATAGTCAGATATTATTTGTTGGAAACAACCTTATATACCTATATATTGACATACGGGATCTTTAAATTAAGTGATGAGACTGGCAACGTAGCGTTCGAACTGGCAACACTGGAGACGCCGGGCTTGAAGGGGAGACCTAGGAACACGTGGGCCGCCTTCAGTATATGTATAAGTTTGAACTCGCTCGAGTCATTTGGTTGACCGTAGCGACTTTTTTTGTGGAATAGTTTTCCTTATTGTGTTCTAAAAATGAATGACACAATTTCGAGCAACGGTGTGCTATCAGGTTTTGCTTCAGACTTGGGCACAGTGCAACGGAAACTCTTGCTAAACTTCAGATGGCCTACGGAGATAGTGTTTTTTCAAGAGCCCAGGTTGTTCGGTGGTTTGAGATATTTTGAGAAGAAGGAGATTAGATTGAAGATGAACCACGGAGCGGAAGGCGTTCATCTTCAAGAACCGACAAAATATCGACAGAATCCGGGATCTTGTGCGTTCAGATCATCGGTTGACAGTCAGAATCATCGGGGAAATGTTAAATCTGACTTCATCAAATCAAGAACAACTGAGTGTTAAATCACGATAATGCTCCTTGTCACACCTCCTCAGCCTCCTTATTCGACTGACTTGAGTCCTTGTCCCTTTTTTCTCTTCCCGAAGTTGAAAAATCACCTAGAGGGAACTCGTTTTGGGCAAGTCGAAAACATCCATACGGCTGTAACCGACCAGCTGAAGGCTATTGCAGTATCGGAGTTCCAGGACTACTATGAGGTGTGGAACGACCGTCTCCAGCGCTGTGTAGCTTCATAAAGAAGTCATTTTGAGGGTGACAATATAAAATTGTAATTATAATTGTATAAAAACATTAAAAAAACAATCTCATCACTTAATTTAAGGACCTCGTTTGTTGCAAAGTTTGGATGAAATCCCCTATTACAGGGCTGTCCAACTTAATGTGGTCCAAGGGCCACTTAAAAAAAATGCAGTTTGGAGGGCCGCATTATAAAATCTTTCTGTACAACATTATTACTGAGTTTGTAAGAATTGTGCATATTCGGTATTTGAGAGTAAACGTAAATGCGAGATAATGACATACAGTTATCTTAACACAGAAAGTACATATATTATGCCATTTTATCTAGATACAATTGCTTAACCTTACGAATAAATATATTTACAGACGTCGCTTCTCTAATGTCTGTAGGTAATGCATTAAAAAGTCTCAAACCATCACTAAAAAAAACATTTTGGATATGGGATGTTCTAGCGAATTCTATGTCAAAAGTGTTACGTGACCTGATATTATATGCATGCCTCTCGGACCTCGGTATTAGATATTCCTGCAAGTATTCAGGCAATAAATGATTTTTTGTTTTAAAAATAAATAAGACATTTGACATTTTAACCTTTTGCTGTATTGAAAGCCATCCGAGGGTTTTTAACGGCACGTTTACGATAAGTTTACTTGAATCCACCATAAGTTTGTCTGACTAAGTTGATCCTTTATTTTCAGTTGAGGGCCAAAATGGTAGCAGACACATTCAACTCCATGGAAGGTTTCAGTTGCAACGAGGTCCAAGGCGCCATGTACGCCTTCCCCCAGATCAAACTACCCTCGAAGGCCATCGAAGCGGCCAAGAAGGCTGGCAAAGCCCCAGACGTATTCTATGCCTTCGAGCTGTTGGAGAACACCGGAATTTGCATCGTTCCCGGCTCCGGATTTGGACAAGTGCCCGGAACCTACCATTTCCGTACCACCATCTTGCCGCAGCCTGACAAACTGAAGGCTATGCTTGATAATTTCGCACGGTTCCACAAACAGTTCTTAAGCAAATACTCGTAGGCTTCCAAGAGGCCATGAAAACGCGTACGGAGGATGCTCGACAAGCCTTGCAATAATGCAGCTGTGTATCTGGGTAACAGCTATTTTGGAACACACAAGAGCAGAGTTCTTAAGATCAATCAATCGATAAAAATGTATTCTTTCGTTTCTTTTTTATAAGGCTTTTCGTTCGAGGAGCTTATTCGTTTTCTTATTCATAGCTCCTTCTTTGGAAAATAATAAAACCATATCTGAAGCGACAAGGAACTTTACCGACGTTTCAGCTGGCAGCAGCCTTTTTACAACACATTATAAAGTGAAAATAATGTTGAGGCTGCCGAAATATCAGAATAAGTTTATTATTCTTATTTCATTTTAGTTATTGTCTAAAACCTAGGGATCAGTGAGATTACCACTCGAGTAGTTTATCTGTAGCTTAATGGTCAAAAACACATATGTCAATAGCTGTCACAAAGAAATTCTACTCCCTAATAGCAAGTTGGCAAGGTTGACGGCTGTAGTGCAGCTTCCGTGTAATCGCTGTGATGTATCGTGAAAGACAAAAAGTATTCACTCTGTATATAAACCAAATTTGTAGTTGTTATGCATCAAGCCGTTCGAAGTATAATATGGAATATTTGGCACGAATTTTTCGAACATGAAATGTTTCGATGAATAAAGTTTCAGTGAAACGATATATAAGCGTAATTTATTTCTTTCCTACGAGGTTTGTAAATTGAGTAATGAGACTGATTTTTCAAATTATTTTCTTTTTCCTTAAATTAAATCCTTCCTCCTAATTTACAGACCTCGTAGATGACACTATATTTCGCAACATGCCTTTCTCACTCTACGAGGGTTGATCCAGAAATACGTTTCCCAAAGAGCGCCAGCAATACTAAAAGGTGGCTCAGCAGCCGTCGATATGGAGCTTCCGGCAAGGGCTAGATTCGTTCCGTAACTCGCTTTTTGGACCCCCAAAGAGACTATAACCGTGGATAGCGATATTTTTTGTGAAAAAGTTTTTCCTATCGTGTTCTACTCGTAAAATGAATGACATCAATTTCGGGCAACATTGTGCTATTAGTTTTTGCTTCAGACTTGGGCTCAGTGCAACGGAAACTCTTGCTAAATGTCAGCAGACCCATGGTGATAGTGTTTCGTCAAGAGCCCATGTTTTTCAGTGGTTTAAGGCTTTTCGGAATGGAGGTAGATTTGAAGATGTACCACGAAGCGGAGTATAGGTGAATTCTTTAATTCACCGGTTGATTCCACCACTGATGGATGCGGTGCTTATGGTTGACACAGTTGACAGCTTTGTATGGTGACGGCAGCAACCGGTTGAATTAAAAGGACAGATGTCTGGTCCACCGGTGGCACCGGTTGCTCAACCGGTGAATTAAAAAATACACCACATCTTCATCTTCAAGAACCATATAAGAAAATATCGAGAATGCTCCACAGCAATGTCAATAAACGAGTTTTTGGACAGTAAAAACATTCCAGCGACTCCTCAGCCTCTGTATTCACCTGACTTGAGTCCTTGTGACTTTTTTGACTCCACGAAATTGAAAAATCACCTCAAGGGAACTCACTTTGGGACAGTCGAAAACATTGCTTATTTCAGTATCGGAGTTCCAGCACGGAGATAGTGTTTTGTCAAGAGCCCAGGTTTTTCGGTGGTTTAAGATATTTTGAGAAGGGGGAGAGTAGATTGAAGATAACCACGGAGCGGAAGGCGTTCATCTTCAAGAACCGACAAAATATCGACAGAATCCGGGATCTTGTGCGTTCAGATCATCGGTTGACAGTCTGAATCATCGGGGGAAAAGTTAAATCTGACTCGCACCACCGTTCATCAGATCAAGAACAACTGAGTGTTAAATCACGATAATGCTCCTTGTCACATCTTCTCAGCCTCCTTATTAATAATAATAATAATAATAAATGGCTTTATTCGAAGAGACAATGCATACAAAAATAGTGTTCAACAAATAGGAATAATTGCTCTCGAATCTCAAGGGGGAGTTCACGACCTGCGTGCTCTTCCACTCATCCCTTGCTCTATTATAAAATAGTGATATCAACTGTTACATGCCTACTACTAACTATATGAGAGCAGAAAAAAAAGCATGAGTACAAAAAAACAAATAACACTGAAAATATAAAACTGAAAATATTCCATCATATAATCATGAGATTCATCCAAAAATCTAAATGTTACAGTATTATGAGTGAAGTTAATTATACTTATCTAAAAGGAATGGTCTCAGAGCTGCCTTGAATTTGCAACCTTTCATATTTTTGATTTGCTGGGGGATGGAGTTGTATAATTTATAGATGTTGTAAGAGAAGCCACGTTCGAAAAAACATGTTCGATGGAATGGAGCAGAAATATTCTGTTTCGAACGAACATTGACAGAATGAAGACTTTCTCTAAACATGACTTTTTCATACAAATATGGCGGTGACTTGCTCGACAAAATATTATTGTAGAAACATAGTGTTAATAGTTCTGAACGCTGTTTCATGTTCAACCACTGTAAATCCTTCAGCTTATGACTAACTCTGTCATATTTCCTTATACCGAAAATGTACCTTATACATGAATTTTGAACACGCTGAATTCTAGATATCGTATCAGCATCCAAGCAAGGATAATAGACAGGAGCATCATACGAAAACTGCCTTTAGTCCTTGTCCCTTTCTTCTCATCCCGAAGTTGAAAAATCACCTCAAGGGAACTCATTTTGGATCAGTCGAAAACATTCAAACGGCTGTAACCGACCAGCTAAAGGCTATTACAGTATCGGGGTTCCAGGACTGTTATGAGGAGTGCAAGAACCGTCTCCAGCACTGTGTCGCTTCAGAAGTAAGTTATTTTGAGGATAACAATATAAAATTGTAATTATATTTCAATAAATGTATTTAAAAAAAATAGTATCAACAATTAACAGACCTCGTATGGCGGAAGTGTATGTTAGTCCCCCTCCCCAAGATGGCTTATCAATTTTTCTCACAGAGATTCCCCCTGAAATTTTCTGCTTCATTTTAGCCCCCAAATCAAGCCCCCTGAGAGAAAGTTTTGTGAATCTAACGCGCAGGGCATACATATCTAAGGTTTTAAAGGTCAGAAATGCCTTGATAAAGCAGGAACACATCACGTGAACTCACGAACTGTTACGCAAACTCGTGAAGTCCCGCTTGCACATAATGATGTTTTTTTATGCCGCAGTAGCCGCGTAGGAAGAAGCCTAAACACCTGGGCTACGCGGCTGCTATGAGGAGCTTAAACAAACGTTGTTAGTTCGATTTTTGACCTACCTACAGGTAAGTTCAGTAGAACTGAGAAAAGTCTACTCATGTAGATTGTTCCACAGTCTAGATCCCCTGGGTACGAAGGAACGGTAGGATGGCAGTGCGAAGACAGGAGCGTCTGTCTGGTAGAAAGATCTCGCGGCGGCATCATGGAGAAGAGCTCTGAGGAGCAAAACCCATTGACTTAACGGTAGAAGAAAGCTAGATCGCCGTCGGCTTGTCGGTGCGAAAGGGTCCCGAGACTGTCCGTTAGTCATCGATCAGTCGAACAGCCCTCCTCTCTGACCTGCATCGATCATGGATAATGTAGTCGGGGTGGCAGCGCCCCAAACATGAGATCAGTACTCGAAGCTAGGTCTTATCTGGGTCCGAAAACGGATCAGCGCTAGGGCGCTTCTTGGTGGTCAAGGTACACTGGTACGTTTAAGAAGCAGGTCTGTCGTCAGAGAGGAAGTCGCTGCTAGTTCCTTTTCTCCAGCTCACCGGCAGAGCTTGTCACTCTGAATTTCTGCCTGTATCGTGCCGTCATCAGCAAAGCGGATTGATCCTATAGGAAAGGCAGTTGATATGTAAGAAGAACGATGTGTGATAGCTAGTGACATAAGGTAACGTGAAAATAATGTCTTCCCGCCTTGACCGACCTCCTGAAGCTCACGCCGCCTGTTGTAAAAACGAAACAAAGAAAACAGATGCTCGGCATGACTACCAAGCTAGTATTGATTTTCTTAAAAATCGCCTCAAGAACAAATTTTACAACAGCATAAGCATCAAATTATGTAGAGAAAATACGGTACACGCCCATCCCAAAAAATTATTGAGGAATTCATATGGCATGACGTAATCCAATTCATCAAATTCATGACTATGACTCATCGTACTTTTTCCTTGGTGTACGAATACGTACAAAAAACTGCTAATGCTGGTTTTCCGAAATGATTCTTTCATCAGAACAATAACACGAATATAATCGATTAGAATGTGGCGTAATAAATACTCTTACTGCCGCAAGACTGGAAAAAACAACAAAGGCACAGTTGTGAGCATTCAGCTGGCGAAACAGGACGTGAGATTATTTCCTCTCTAATTGACTTTTCACGCACACAGCAATGCAACCATGTGTTGATGTGAGTCGCGCGCATGTCTGAGTAACTCTCGACCAATAGAGGCGATCGATAAAAAAGTGCAGGCATAGGCGAGGAAAACGGGTCGACTGTAAAGGTACGACTAGCTCGGTCGTAACACCTGTATGGTTGTTTGGTAGTGCTTTTCAACAAGGGAAAACGCGACAAATATCCTGATGCGGTATCAAAGCGAAGATTTATCAACTGGAAAGTATGAGATGCCTCATTCTGTATTTTAAACCAGACACTACACAGATATCTCGACACACCTTATTTGGGTCTTTTCAATAAGCGAGTACGCAACCCTTTGTTGCGTGAGTCAGTAGTATATACAGTCGAACAGACAAAATTAATAATCCATCTCCGGACGTTCCAAAATCAATTTTCAATGGAAAACCTACACTGCACAATTATTTAGTTTGAGAATCAAACTTATTTCAGTGGTTTCAACAATGCCAATGCGCGTGTCCTACTAATAGCGACATTTCTTATTCTTTGCTTTCAACCTTCATTATTCTTTTTCTTCTATTTTCCTTTTACTTTTTTGTTTTCTGGATGATCAGACTGACCATACAGATTGACTTACTGCCAGTGACATTTTAAGCCATGTAGGTAGGGGCGCTTGGGCACACAGGAGCTCAGAACATGCGCGGCTACTTTGCCACTGGTAAAAATTGAACAACCTGGGGAAATATACTAAGTGACATATAAATCCGAACACCCAGTTTAAATGGTTTTATTTTAATAAAAGTTGGTGAATGTATTTATCTTACTGTAAATAACAAGTGAAAAAATTTTCAGCCTTATCAGTTGGACATTCCGGTTTTTATACTGCTTTTTTTTAATTCACTCACGCTCTAAAAATGAATATTTCAGCCGCAGTAAAGAATCAACGTTGGCGGATTTTGGTTCTTGACATCCTTTACGATCAGTTACGATGCCTAGAGTACGGAGACCTGTACGATTTCGTCAACTTAGTGAGTTTGATAGGGGCCGTATAGTGGGACTTCGGGAAGCTGGACTTTCTTTTCGGGCAATTGCAGTTAGAGTGCAAAGAAGTGTAGACACTGTGGTTAGGTGTTGTCAGGCATGTCTTCGAGAAGGCCGTACGCAAAGAGCAAGGGGCACTGGACGCCGCCGTAGAACAACAGACCGTGAAGATCGCCGCCTAAGATTATTGGCCTTAAGGGACCGTTTCTCCACTACCAGGTCCATTGCAAATGAATGGTTTGCAGAACACGGAAGACCTATTGGCATGCGAAGTGTTTACCGACGAATGAAAAGTTTTGGCTTGTTTTCATACCGGCCAGTCATGAGTCATCTGGGGGCCCTCCATTGAGCTGGAGCCCTGGGCATGAATCCCTTGTGCGCATAGGGTAAAAACGAAATACACACACAACACAAGATAAAGGTCCTTCGTCCTCAATTTTGCGCAATGCATGATGAGGAGTCGCCACTGGAGTTCACTCTTTTTTTACAGAAAATCCTCTGTATAATAATCAAATATTTGTTCAAATTTCTGCATATGCATCACCTAAATAAGTTTTAGAAGTGAGCAGTGGACTCCCTACAGTCGTAAGATATCGGTAGTGGTTGATGGCTACTCTTTATCCCATAATATCAATGCGGGCTTTCCCCAGAGAAAAGTTTTGGCTCCAACATCGTTTCCGTTTCACATTAGTGACCTGCTTTCATTTATGATAAATCCGACCCACAGGTTCGCTGATAACAGCACTTCACATGCAGACATTCAGAGTGCGAAATTGATATCTGCGGTTGAGCTAGAAAGAAATATTTTTGATCACTTGGAGCTTTGGCAGGAGGCCATTTGTTTCAGCTTGCACTGAGGACATTATTTGAAAAAACATCTGATTGGTGCTAAACACTCTGTGAAGTGCTTCCACGCCATCCAACATTCCAAGTCCCAGGTAATACCTCGCTTTGGAGTGCTGTTCACAAGTCTCGCGTGCTGCTGCTCAAACAACGCTGTCCGTGGAGAGAGGGGAAGGAAGTAGGGGAGAAAAAATAAGGACATGTTAACTGTTTTGTGTAAATGTTTGGGATCAAATGGGTCTAAGAGATTGTTACATTGTACTACGTGAATTTTGTCCGTAAGGTTTTTAAATTATTTTTTTTTTGAGGTCTAAGCATGAATTAATTATGTTAACAATGCCAGCCGCTGCCTGGAATATTGCAATTGTTTACGATTCCGCTTGTTGGTAGTGCCTATGATGGGTAAAGCTGCACATGCGTTAGTTACTGTTGGTCAAATGATCGTTTCATATACCCGAGTTTTATTGACCAAACTGAATCTTGAAGTTATCTTTCATATATTACAACATTCTCCCTCTACCGCACATCAGGCTTGGTCGAGCTTATTTATATCGAGAGGTGACCGATACAATCGTTCCTTCGTTTCTTAGGAATAAAAATCTGCTAATGTGGGACAATCAGCTAGATGTTTTTCCCAGTTCTACTATAATCTAAAGCAGTTCAAAATTCAAATCAACTAAATCTGTTTATTACATCAGTTGGGTATTCCAATTTTAGCTAGCGTACTGTAAGAAATATCTCCTACAAGAGTATGGCTCCACCGACATCCCGTCGCATCATGAATTTTCACAGTATTCCGTCTAGTATTGATCCACGCTCTCCTCTATACAACATGGAGGATTTTTCTCAAAAGTACAGTGGGAAATATCGCGCGCAATGCGGTATCCTCCGAACTAGTTTGAGAAGCTGTCAGATGCTGCGGTGTGCCGATGGACTTTAGCGGTTTCTGATCAGGCTGCTAGGATAGGAAGAAAATCGTCCTTAATGTTATTTTCCTTATCGAAGGCACTCCTTAGATAATGCAAGTCTTAAATGGAATTTTGAAGCTTAAAGTTATGGTCCAATTATTCTCGATAATCTTTTTTGTTCCAACGATAATTGATATAAATTTGCTTAATTAATATGGTATGATAAGTAATTAGGTACAAATAATATCTTTAGAATATCGGCCACATTATGCTTCTCGCACTCTCGTATTTCTCAATAACTTTCCGCACAATTTTGGTCAATATGACAGACTGCGATTCCATTGCTTGGCTTACTCATATAATAATAATAATAATAAACGTCTTTATTAAATAATATATACAATACATGTATATATATATAAAGTGTAACTATAGTGTCGAAGTTTAGCAATATGCTACTCTAACACTTAACCACTAAAGTTAAATATTACGTTGTTAACAGCTAACAGAAAAAAAATGCAAAATATATATAACAAATCACTTATAACCCATATGAGAAGTGGAAAATGAGATATTTTGTGTGCACATACTGCTACTCTAAAAAGGTCTATGAAATATTGAGGGAAAAGTTAATCGTTCAAATAACTCAACTTAACATCGTAGCGGAAACGTGGTAAACTCATGGTCTTAAAGTTACTGTCCAAAGAATTATATATTGCTGCAACGTTATATGAGAAACTTCGTTGGAACAGAGATGCTGCATGCTTCGGAATTCTGATAACGTACCTGTCTCTAATAGCTCTATTGTGAATGGTGTTATTAAAAATTATTTTTTCACATAGGTATTCTGGCTTAGAATTATAATTATAGAATATACTCGTATTTTTTCAAACAGCGTGAAGGAAGAACCCAGGCGCGTCTGATCCAGGTAAGTGCTGAGGCAGGAAACTAATTTGAAAAAGCTCGCCGCCAAAAAATGGGCTACTCAAAAGTGTCCGTCTATTAAAGTGTGTACTGCAGTCTTTTATCTCGTCGAAACAACAGATTTGGATAGTATTCGGGTTTGGGTGCCAGTAATGCAAACTGAATTTTCGTGTAAACTCCCACGTAAACTTCGTAAACCATCAACATATTTTTTTATACCTGAGACACCGCGCTGGCCTAAGACCTAAATAGCGAGGGAACACGTTTGCATGTTACATGCATAATTCTGGCCCCGCCTTGGAGGCTTCACCTCCACGCTTGTCAGTCTGAGACCGTTTACCACCTACTCACAGTCACAACATCCATAGCCAAGAGAAAAATTCTCTTGGGATAAGATTCAAACCCGCGCAGATCACGGCTCACGGCTGATCAGTAGACCCATAGCGTCGACCATCTACCGCTCCGCCACCGCGCTGCCTGAAAGTTCCACGCGTTAAGCACTGTGGATCATCTTCCAGCATTGCGAATAAGGTTCAATACGGTCCTGAGTGTTTCCAAGTCTTAAATTAAAGTAGCCTCGATATGTTGGTATGGGGTACGCTGAGGAAAAACAACTGACACTGGAAATAAAATTCTGCGATTTTGATGTGTATCGACTTATATCAAGATGGTCAAGCAGTACCTACCTACTAAATCTTAAAATAATAGAAAGCAGATTTTGTAAAACGGACTCGTTATAGATATCAAACCATTAATTTCACTTTGCACCCCCATATATTTTAGACCTAGTTCCTCCTCCTGTTACTCCCTGTGTCCAACTTTCCGTCTACCCTTCAGCATCATCCTGTAAGCATCCTCCAAGGAGAATACCCTGGTGCGCCGCCGCTGTAGACGGTGCGCAGTCAGCCTAGAGCTCCTCATCCTTGGTAAATGTAAAATCCACCTTGTTCATTAAGCCAGCAGCTAGCAGATTATGATCTAACGGGTTCGCGTTACGCTCGCTGCTTCTCCAAACAAAACACTGTGCTAATCTGCCACTATTTTTCCCTCATGTCAAATCGGTGAGCCGTCAAAAACGGTGCCAGTCCTCCCAAATTCCGTAAATACCGATTATTCAGTGTGGACCTGCCCAAATACTAGCGCGACTGTAACCTTAACACAGTTTTTTACGTGCGAGAGGTGTGTTGGTGCATTTTCTTCTCGAAAATCGCACCATGGAGTTCAAGTTCAGCGTGAACGAGCTGTTCAAGAATCCCATTGTCGAGATCAATCATAATTTGATACCGCCCGGCTTTAGCGGAGACAGAAGGGCGCTATGGTAAGTTTTTTTATTTGTTCAATTTAAGTATTTTTGTATTTGATGCAAGTTTACCAGATGTTATCTTTACAAGAAGGATTTGAAATAATCCAGATACTGGATGTTGATACGAGAGTGCACTTTAATGAAGATTTAAATATCTCAAGAGCGCCGTAGTCGGCATCCGTCTGCATCTGGCAGACGCCACAAGGGTTCACGTACTTACAGGGTGATTCTCACGCGTACCTACATCTTAATGAATTTTGCGCGTTTTGATGTACAGGCAGATTAGAGCTGGAAGACCTAATAAAATTAAGCATCAACTACTTTTTGGTACTGGCAGGGCACAATCGAGGCTGTTTTGAGCCCTGACAAAGTAATTCCAAAATTAACAGGTTGTCATCATCTTTCAACTCGCTACTTTATGTGCCCCTGTATATAGAAAGAAATTGTGAAAAAGCAATTATCCATTTAGCGATATTTGAACAATCAATCAATTTCCCTATGTGTTTACTTCCCACGCCTACTGGCGAGGAAGTATAGTAATCGCAAAAAATTTCGAAAATGAGATGTTTTTTGGATGCTATATGAAATATACAGTAATGGACAAAAGTATATAGACAAATATGAATATTTACCCAAATACCTTTAGAAAACGAATTCATACTTCATTGCTCCATAAACAAATGCGTTATTAGTAGAAAAACTAAATTCCTTGTTTTTACATTATCTGCAATGAACACAATACAAGTCTGAATATAAGCACTTTTTTATGAGGGACAAAAATATGTAGACAAATTCTTTTCAACATTAGTTTAGTACAGTTTCGTGTCAGAAGAGGATTAGTTTATGTTCATCAAGTATTATGGAATAAATCGAGTGATTTTAAGACCATGCCGCGTGGTCCAGAAATTTCTTTCGATGTGAAAACTAAGATCATAGAGTTATACAAAGATGATCAACGTCAAGTCGACATTGCCAAAAATTTGAAGCTGAAGCGTAAAGCAGTTTGGGCAATTTTGAACAAATATAAACAAAAAGGTATCTTGAAAGCCTGGAAGTGGTCGGCCTAGAAAACTAAATGCTAGAAGTAATTGTCAGTGTTTCTACGAAAACTATAAGTAGAAGATTAAATGTTTTGAAGTTATTTGCACGTCGCCCGAGTAAGAAGCCGCTAATCTCGAGGAAAAACCGTAAGGACCGATTACAATTTGCACGGTTGCATCTTGATTGGAGCATCTGGGAGTGGAAGAGGGTATGTTTCAGTGACGAACCCAAGTTCAATATGTTTGGATCAGATGGTGTTCAGTACGTTAGACGTCCTGGTGGACAAAGATTGAACCCCAAGTACACTTTGCCCACTGTCAAACATGGAGGCGGGTCTCTTATGGTTTGGGGGTGCTTTTCGGGGTTTGGGATGGGACCTTTACATAGAATAGATGGCATTATAGATAAGTTTGTATACACAAACATACTAAAGCATGTCATGTTACCCTATATGGAAGACAATATGCCCTTAAGATCAATCTTCCAAGATAATGACCCGAAGCACACTTCAAATCTCGGAAAGAAATTCTTTCTGGATGACAAAATACCAGTTCTCAAATGGCCTTCACAGTCTCCCGATATAAACCCCATTGAAAATCTATGGGAATACTTAGATACGCAAATACGAGATAAAAATTATTCAAACAAGGATGAACTGTTTGCCGCTTTAGAGCAAAAGTGGAGACAGATTGATGAATCTTATATCAATAAACTTCCACAATCTACGCCGAGACGATGCCAGGCGGTGATTGATAATAATGGTTATGCTACAAAATATTAACACAAACATGGTTGGTTTTCTATAATTCAATGAACTTTTCTATTTTTTTCTATAATTGTTTTGCTTTGTCTATATTTTTTTGTCCTTCATAGTTCCAGTTTTTTTCAATTAATTTTTTATTGAAGGGAGTCTAATGAATTTATTTATGTATAAGTGAGTATTATGCTATAACGAATTATGTATACAGGTTGGTGTATTAATAAAACAAGTTAAAAAAGAAATACAGCACAATATTAATTTGTCTATATACTTTTGTCCATTACTGTATATAACAAAAAAGCATGTCAACAATTTCCATCGGTGCGTCTGCGTGTCTGTCGGCCCGTCCGCTAATAATTTTTGGCTCGTCTACAACTTGGAAGGAACTGCTCGGATTTGGATTAAATTTTCACACATGGTTTTATTGTTGTGCCAAGGACGAAACAGCCTTGTATTTTTTCATAATCGGTCTATGGTAGAGAAAAGGGCAAGACACGAAAGACTGTATAGAAATCGCTCAAACTTCGTTTCCTAATGTTTCAGAGGGTCAATTAGTATATATTTATACGCTCCCAATCTCTGACTTTCCCCGTACATTTGCTCTTAAAACTTGAAACGATAGAGAAATGTTTTCGATAGGCTCCTGTTTTTGCTCTCTGGGCTCACCTTCGTAAGTGTCTTGGCATTACTGCTCGTTTGACGCGCCGTGCGATCAGATATCGGGAGAGACGACGATGCTAGATGGACGATACTACTAATTGTATGGCCCTGTTTACCTGACTTGAACCGTTTAATTTCTCCCCTATACATGTTCGCAACTATTTTTTTCCGCAGACGGTCTATGCTGAACATAATCATTTATGAGCTGACTACGGCGTTGCGTGGAAAGTGCAGAGTCAATCTACTTGACGTCATTTTTTCTTAAACACATAAGGGAGATTTTCAAGAAGCGGTACTTGGAGGCTAAAAGACATAGGTGGTTTTTAAGCAATTGGCACGTGGAAAATTTGAAATCCACTTCACCGAGATCAAAGTAGCCCATAGGCGAATATTACGCGCTCAGTATTTTTTACTGTGGTGTGCTCCATTCCATCAGTATTTACTGATCATTCCGTCAGTCAGTGCATTTCTAGTTAACCGTATACATTAATAATTACCAGCGTCCAGGCTACACGGTCAACAAATATCACATTCCATGGTAATTACTGACGGATCACAGTAAATACAGATTGTGCGGTATTCACCATACGGGTGATCGATTCTACTATTCCCACTATTCGACAATGTACTTTCATTACACGACTTTATCGATGCGCGTCGACCGTGGATCTATGCATGGGCATAAGCCAGTACCGTGGAATATGGTATGGTCACCGTAATCCCAAAATATCTACATAATATACATATGTCTTCAAAGTCTTATTCTGCGACATATCACAAAATTACGAGTTAATGCGGATGCCACCAGTTGCGTCCACCCTACGCAAAATGTTAGCGCATATGTTACTCTGCCCCTGGAGCACTCTCTTCTTGGGTATTATCATTTCCGCTTGTACACGATATTTCTCATCATCGCTGGAATTCAGAACATCTAAAAATTAATCACCCACATGCCGCGAAATCTACGAATGAAATTTTTAGAAGATACGGATTTTTTTGGCGCGTTTCTACTTCGCCGCCCCTAGAGGGCGATATTGCCAGTTCAAGTAACGCAGTATTGTCATCCTTGGAATCTGGAGCATGTTGAAAAAAGTACCAAAATCGCCGTGAAATCTGCGAACAAATATCAGTTTGACATGTTTGGCTTTTTCCGGCTGCCAACTATTCCGCTGCATCTGGAGCATCGGTTGCTATAGTCTGGCACCGAAAAGGAAGATATCAAATATATCGCAAGCTATGCTGACTCTGCGTGCCTACGAATCAAGTCGTGCCATGTGTTTTGCTGCTCTCTTTCTTCATGTACATATCTATTCCGCGATGTTTGAATTATCCCTACGGGGGTACAATCAATTCCAGCAGTCAATTTTCACAGTGGGAATCCAGGGTACATTGAAATAACCACCGGTATCACCATCAAATCTATCTGAGTCTTAACGTATATCAGCGGCACCTTGTTACATACGACCACGGCTTTATCGATGTGCAAAGGTTAAGGCTACGGTAGGTATAGATGCGAATTCTGACTAAATTTTGTTCTGGCGAGTTCTGATGAATTCATCCGAATAAACAAACGGCTGTTTTCCAATGAGCGCGTTTACAGAACGTCAGAATAAGCACGCCGTCGTCAGAACTACGTGAGCATTTAGACTTGATTTTTTACGTACGACCTGTGTCTATTTTTGAGTACTTATTGGTTGTTTCACCTTGGACAACGATAATTTGATATCTCTTGTGTACGAGACAAAAAGTATCATAATAGAGATATTCCTCGGCAAAAATGGGAAAAAATTGCTCCAGAAAACTACCAGTAAGTATTTTTTTTATTCTGATGTGGGTACTTGATCCATCAATTACATGGCACACATTTACATTCATTGCACTTTTCTTGATATACTCGAAAAACTTTTGCGGTTGGTCCAGCAATTCTTCAAGTAATATTTCAAACTTCACTTTGTCGCGCAAACTAGAAAATTAAGGATTGATATGCTCTGTTTTTCCATCATTTGACAACAGTAGCTTCAGACTTTCAAGGAAATAAAATTCCTCAAATTCGTTCATATTTGCTGGATGGCAGAAACTACCAAAATCTCAGAAAACGCGAACAGTGTAACTGGGGCGCACTTTAATCTAATCATATTAGCAAATTTCCCTGAAATAATTGTAAAGTCTGGTTTTTTTGGTGCAAGTTGTTCAAGGGGGTATATAAAACATGGACGCATGAAATGGGTACACTAATTTTGGTGGGAAAACTTTTTACTCGACAACAAAGAATGAGAAAACAGGTTTTTTGGGAGTGTTGCCAGGAACAAAAAAACTTCATATAAGATTTTTATATATTTACACGTATGAGACCAACAAAATGAGAGCACACGTAAAAAGATCCCACTAATAGCAAAAATGTTATGGCCAAGAAACGAGGCAAAATGCAGGTTTTGGCACTTGTTGGTAATACAACGCTAATTTCACGCAACTACTTGAAATTCTTCAAATCCGTAGGATTAATACTTTTAAATAACCACAACAAAATTGGAGTAGATGGGTCAAGTAGTTTTTG